CTGCTAGGACTTTTGTTAGTTTTTATTTTATCTTATTTTTATTTTATTTTATCTTGTTGCATGGAAAAGATTTTCATGGCCCCAAGCCCCATTGTTCTTGGTGATGTTTAAACACACAAGAGAATGATAGTCTCTTTACCAAAAGACCTTACAATCTTTAAGGAATCTGGATCTTTAGTATTATGTTAGCTTTGGCTTTTGTAAGTCAGAGCCCTGAGAAAAAGTGACCAGATACTCACCAGGTCAGAGAAGAAAGTAGCCATCTCCTATGAAAGAGCTGATTGCTGTTGCTTACTGGTTAGTACCTGCCAAAAGAACCAAATGCTTGCATTATGCAATAGCAGTGTTAGTGAACTAGTCCCATGTTATTGAAGTTAAATTTTACTTCGAAGGTTTTTGAGTTAATTACATGTATTTCAGCTGTTGTACAAAGTTTAGAATTGTTGGATTAAATATTTCAACCATTGGTTGTGTCTAGCCCAAGTAAACAACATGGTCTCCCTTGCAGGGAATCTTTATACCTCATGAATTCCATCTCGTTCTAGGGGGATAGGGAACAGAGACACCAATTTTAAACAGGATTTCAATAATCATAACTTGCTTAGTTTTCAGTATAAGCTAAGAAACATAAAGACAAAGTTTTTCTCTTGGGAATCTTAGATGGGGCTTGGACAGTGAACTATAGGACTTTGACATACAGTAGGAAAGAACTATTCTCTCTTCATATGACAGGAACTAGAGCACATTGTAACTTAATCATTACTTAAAGGAATTTAAATTCTCCATCATTTTGGAATGGAGTGCAAACTTAATGATTCTGTAGTGGCACACCAGGCTTGACCAGCTAAATATTTAATAGTAGCTGATTTTCCTTCACTTGGAGAGAAAGATTCAACGTCATGCACAGTTTTATCTGGTATTTCCATTACTTAGTATATGTATTTCTGTGTCTGTGATGAAAAAAAGATTGCTTTGAAACTGTCCTGTAACCTCCATAGCTGGATTGATGTCTCTTCCTTCAGACAGAAAATTCTCAGCTTTTAACTTCATTTATTTCATAATTAAGAGGGTTTTGCATGTATTAAGTTGGTAAATGGCTTAGTTATCATTTGCCATTTACACTTCAGTTAAAGAAGAGGATGAAGAAATCATAAAGGGCTTATTGGATGTAAGTGGTCATATTTACTAGCAAATACATCACATGGAAAGAATATTCACAGATTCTCTAGCTAATGTCTGAAATGTAGCATGTAGCACCACCTGGCCGTTTCTCCCATCATTGTGCAGTCCTCATCAAGAAGTTGACTTTGTTGTTGGTGTGTGCTGAGAGTTCATGGCAGGTTTTTCTTCCAGATGAGGTTCTCTAGCAGATAAACTGTTGTTAGAGCACAAACAAGACTGTCCCTTTGATGCCAAGAATTAGTTTCCTTTTCTGTAAAGTCGTACAAAGTTGAAACAACATAATGTGCATCTGACAAAGGAAAGAAATTCCATGTTAGCTGCTAGTATCTGCCTTGCTTAGATGATATTCAGGGAAGACACAAGCAGGCAATAATATGTAGCTACCAGCATGGGGCATTCCTTCTCAAATACAGATATTTTGTTGTACATATGTCCTACTTCACCCACTCCTACTTAGTACACTGTACACACTGTAACTTTTACTCTTTGCTCTTGTACTTTAATTTAGGATTCCTACTTTTGGTAGGTTGAGTCTTCCTCTCATAATGCCCTTACTATGTAATGTCTATTGCATTTATGTTTATCAGTTGCTGTACTGCTTCTCTGCTCTTATTACTTACACTGTGCTGATGCCCCCTTTATTAGATGTGCAGTTTCATAATTAGTGCTAACACGTAGTTAGCAGATATCTTACAGATATCCTTTAGTCATAATTGTGATCAAGACACTAAATCTCACAACATCAGGTCATTTAGTCATTTATCTTGCAATTTTAGTGTCACGTGTAACACACATACGCAAAGCTGTGCTAAGCCTTCCTTAGTACAGGCCAGCTAGACCAGATCTATGGTTTTTTGTGTCTGGCTGACAGCACTTCACTGATACAGCTTTTAAGTGTTTGTATCTGCCCCAGTTTGAGTCAGTGTTTGAGACATATTCTTCCTATGAGCTGATGTCTCTGGAAGAAAGTGTACATCTATTGTTCCTGAAACTTCTGAATGACTGTTGTCTTTGTCTCTGTCACCTCCCATGTATATTTGAACCATACCTTTTTGGTGTTTCATCCCTTGACCAGACTGTTACCAGAATGCAGCTCTTGCTCCACTGAGCACAGGCAAAGGTTGACCTGTGCTCCAAACAGCTGTTCTGCTTCGTTATCACATTAATGTTCCATAGGGCATCTGCTTTCTTCCTGGTGAGGATCTTCTGGGGAAGGCTTTCCTAATAACACCTAATGAATAACTGAGATCAGAGAAGAGGCTCACTGGAGAGTCAATCCAGCAATGGTACATGATGCCACTCTGCTTACATTTCCAAAGACTTCAGGTATTGTTGTAATGAAATGAAGGAAGTTTTCAGAATAACTGGTTAGGAAAAAGAATTCTGTTTTGCAAAAAGTAGGGATTTCCTTTACATATTGGTAGTTGTTTCCAAATAACCGGCAGTTTTTAATCATGTTATATGTATATGGAACACTACAGAATTATTGAGCTTTTCTGACTTTAAGGACTCTTAATGTTTCATAGCTTATCTTTTAGTGAGAAGTCTTAAATGTCCCTAAATACTAAAGACAGGAATAATGAAAAACCCCAATCGTAGAAGGGTATGCACACCAATAACTTTTTTTTCTAGTCACTTGTCCCTACGGGAGATCCTGATGTTGGGAAAGAAACATTTGTGGAGGCCAGAAGTTTTATTACAAGGCAATCTGCCATTTTTATTATGTTTAACATTTCCAATAAAAATAAGCAGCAGTTAAAATGAATAATTGAATTAATATTTTGAATAACCTTATTTATGTTGAAGTAAATATGCCAGTCAAAGCAATATCAGAGATAAAAACACTTATTTTACCATGCAAGTCTAGAGTTTAGATTTTAATTTGTATAGTATGCTCCACTGTGAGCCTTAGCTTTGTTCGTGTTCCTCCTAATAGTATTGCTTTGCTGCTAGGACTGTGTGAGACTCTCATTAACAGAGGGAAATGTGAAGAATATTGGACACTTTCTAAAGAAAAGAAAAGTCCCATGAGTTTGCGTATTTCAGAAAAAGTTTCTGGTGAAATTAATCCCTGTGGTACTTTACAAGATCACACTATCCTGTAAGGCTCACAAACTCTTTTTACCTTTAACTATGTATAGCAGGAAGAATTAGAACTCAGTATCAGATTGCCTTGAAGATCATTCACAGTTTGAAAGCCTGCAGTATGTGAACTCAAGCACAGATGTTGATTATACATCAATGTAGAAAATTATATTTCATCCATTTCTACAACAGAGATCATTTGGAATGGTATATTACAGTAAATCTAGAAGTTAGAGAACTTGCATATGATATGTTTTAATATTTTCTCTCACTTCGTTTCCTTATGTTTGTGCATACTACATGCTTGTAAAAACTGTCAAAACTCCTATGACAGTCTGCAAATTGAACCACAAACTGTTGGAAATGCTTAAATGAACGTCTTAGAAGTTCTTTTTGTTAGAATTACATATCCCATTTTTACTGTAAATCTTATCCAGCTGTATGAGTCTGACAAAATATTCAAGGCATAAAATATTTACATTCATCTCTACATCTGTCAATCAGCATCTACACTCGCAGTGAACAATAACTGAAGAATCTGTACTGATTGCACAATCCCTGAAATATGTGTATATGTCATCACTTCTTAGTCATGATAGAGAAATACGCTGTAGGCAGGATCCCTGCATGTATTCAAGAGCTGGAGGACATGACAGAGCTTTTGCTCACAGTCTGCTGTACATACAGCAAGGTACTGTACAGATGTCTTTAAGAGAAACTGTAAAGCAACAGCTATTCTGTAACAGCTAGGAGTTCCAGTCTGGGGCAGTTCTTCTGGGGTGATTTATTGGGTCCAGGTAGCTGAAAGTCACAAAAAGGAAAGTAGCAGCTAAATTGCTATGGGATTCAGAGCCTGTGAGATATCTATGGGAATTCTGACCCTGGAAGCGAAGCTTCAGACTCGAGATGACAATGATGATGAGTAAAATATCACAGAGTATCTAAAATGATGCTACGTGCTTGTGTTTTATGGCAACTGGATTCCACCCATGAGTCCTCTAGCTGCATTGCCACTGAAGGGCGCTATCCCTTGAGAAGAGTTTTATAGGAACTTTTTCCCCATACTTTTTCATGAACAAGTCTGAGTTCAGAATCAAATGGCTGAAATTTTTTAGCAAAAAAAAAAAAAAAATTAAGTTGAAAAAGGATGGCTGCTGACATGGAAAACTGTAATCCAAAAGCGTTGAAGTCTGTAAAACTAGATACAACACAAGAACAACATGGTGTTGTGCATGGGAACTGGGCAAAGTTTGATTATTCAGTTGAGTCTAGAGAAACAAAGAATTACTTTCCTATTCCACTAAATTTTTTCTTTAATCTGTTATGGATTGAACCCTAGCCAGAGATAGCAAGCCAAGAACTTCACTATTCCCATTTCAGGGTTGTAAAAACACACTCAGAAATCATAGAGAGAGAGGGGATCACAGGTCTTCCCTTTCTCTGTGGTCAGTAGAGTGTTTATAAATTCTACATGTAATTTCAGTGTGTATTAGTTGCTCTGTTAAGAAGAGATTTACACATCAGCAAGTTGAGCCAAAATGCTCATGATTCACATGAGTCTATCCTGTTAATATCAGCCATCATCATTTTTCTAAGCTGCCCAGAGTGGAGTGCTTGAGAAAGGTGCCGGTTTGGGAAAATGGGAACCTTGTAAGTGACAGATACGAAAACTGACAGTCCATTTTGACTGACTTGCTAGTCAGAAAATGACAAATGTCTTTTTTTTTTTTTTCTTCCTTCATCTTAACAAAGCCTGACTCCCCAAACAGCCCATTAAAGCCTGGTGCAGAAGGTATAATCCTCTGTGACATGAACTGGAGTTGTAGGAATACACTTCTTTTTAAAGTTTAGCTTATTGAATTCTTCTGTGATTTCCACAATTGATTTCCCTTTTGTTTCTGGAAGGAACAGGTGGATAATTATCCCTGAAGTGAAAAGTACCCCCATAAAGATGAGGAAGCAGAAGTGCTTGAGTCTTTCCTGCAGGGAAGAGCAAAGTGAGAAAGAGACCAAGATGAGCATATCTTTTCTTTTGTCACTTTCTTGGCATAGTTTTTGTATTTGGGTCCCAAAGTACTTTGAATTTGATAAGTAATTCTTTGACCTTTGACAAAAATATCGGTCTGAATAAATATCTTTGGCAAATCAGGGCACTTCGGTTGCAAAAGTGGACTGGGGAGAGCCAAGGCCACTCTAGACTGACATGGCATTGTCATCTCCTGCTGTTCGTCTTCCCGCTCCCATGGCGAACTTGAGCTTAGTGCCTCTGGGGAGTGTCCCAGGGAAGGTCACTCACCACAATGAACGGGAAGGTTGTTCCGATCACAAAGATGCCCATCCAGTTGAGAACTGAGCTGATCACAAAGGCAGGTGGTCTGCATGACAGCTTGAAAATTTCAACCCTAATGGAAACTGTGGCACCAGCTGAAGGGAAAGAGGAATAAGAACCATTACTTGTTGATGTGTTTGGTTTGAACATCTGGATTGAGTGTTACCATTCCAGTAAGCAAATAGATGCTACTGTCATGGACTGGCATTCAAAAGGCTTGAGTATGTCACTGTTTTTTGAAAACAAAATGTTTGTGGCATCTTATAAACTGATAGACATCAGCTTATTAAAATAGTAAATTATTTAAACACATTTATTGGGGAGATTAAAGAATTAAGTAGTTAACACTTGAGAAAGTCTGACATCTCATGAAAGGACCTGTGTAAGGCTGGAATAATGATTATTATTATTAACAAGAATTCCCAGCATGATACTGCTAGATCACCAATGAGTGATCTTCTCAGATTCACTTCCTGGGCATTTCAGTAATGTTTTGAAGTCACAGGACTATGACAGCTTTGAGTTAGGAAAATAATTCAGCCCTGCCATATGGGGAGGCAAATATTTTAAAAATCAGTAGGCTTGAAATAAATGTAAAGAGGAGCAGGTAGTATATGCTAGGAAAAGAATTGTTCCAAAGTAGGTCTTCTTCACTGCTGTCCATGTGGGATGAAATGTAACATTATACAACACTGAATACAAAAGGACTCTTGCTTTAATTTTTCTTCCTTTTTTCTTAGTATTTTAAAAAATTCTTTTACCCATCTGCTTTTGCTCTATTTTTGCTGTATTTTTCCAGTGAGTACTTTTTGCCCTCTTCCTTTCATCTTATTAGCAAAACCCAAACCTGATGGCATTGAAATTTCTGGCCAACGATTGGACCCACAATGTTTAAATGACTACAGGATTAGGTTAAATTAATTTACTTATGCTAAATGTTATGCAATATTATGCAGTATTTTCCTAGCCGTATTAATAAACTCACATGACTCAATTCCTTTATTTCTTTTGAATGAAGAACTCACCTGGCCCAACTCCAAAGACAACTGCAAACAAGATAATCAGACAAAGGCTGCAGTATGGCATCCAGAAATACCAGTCCTGGGGAAAAAAAACATAACAAACTTCTGGGTGAAATCTATTGATAACCATAGGTGAGCAATACTGCTTGTTTTCCAACACTGTCACCTCAAGAAAAAATATACAGCATGGGGGAACTAGCAGAGAAATGTGAGTGCTTTTTCCTGTGGATGGAGCAGTGAGGTTTTTGTTAGGTGAGCAGAGAAGCAGTTTTGCTAGTGCGGTACAGGTGTCAAGCTTGGAAGCCTTCAATTAAAGGAAGACTGAATAGTACTTTTCCACCCTGTCCTCCTTTCTTCTTGCCCCATGGTGCTTCCCCCAACCCTTAGAGGTATGGGAAGGCCAAATCATATCTTTTTTTCATTTCTGTTAAGTGGTAGGTTCATAACTGGTACTGAAAAGGAACTTTCCTAGATCTTAGTCAAGAAGATACAAGACTGTATGCTTTAGGAGGAAAGATTTCTCTCTCCTAGGTTTGAGATCCTTCATGAATGAATCAAAAATGGAAGTCTGCTGCCACCTTGCTTCAAGACTAATTTTATAGCAGTGTCTACAGAGTAGCTCTTGGATGAATACTGGTAACCCATAAGATTTGCTTCTGAAGAAGCTACAGCAATGACACAGTGTTATAGAGCTGAACTGGTCTTCAGCCTGTGAACAGATAGATGCATTCCCAGTTTCTTCTGCAGCAAAGTTAATTTCAAATTAAGTGATGCAAAGAGTCTGGGGTTTTGTTGTTACTTGTTAAAAATTGCATGAATAGAGAGGGCCATTTTCCTAGGATTGTCTTTTGATCTATGCTGGCCAGTGTCTGATGCTTGCAGTCAGATGAAATCAGGAATCAGTGCTTATCTTCCAATGTTTTATCTGCTTCTTCCTGAGATTATGGATCATGTTGGAAGGAAGGCAGGTGTACAAGAGAGCACTTGCTGAGAGAGGGTTTAATCCTATGTATAGACAAGCTTGATCTTTAGGATATTCCCCTCCCAGAGGGTAAGCTGTTAACACACAGGTTATTCTTTTATACACTTCTAAGCCTCCCTTTCCTTTCTCAGCAGCATGGTCCTGCCTGTGAGCAGGTGTTATCAATGAGAAGAGTTTCCTTACCTGTAGGGAGAGAGTCACAGTGATACAGGCTAGCAGTGAGCTCATGATCCAATAACCTCCTCTTAGGAGCACTTTCCTGCCCAGCCGCTCAATGATGGAGATCTGAAGGACAGAAACCACACTGATATCAGTGCCAGAAGGGCAAACTGTGACCCATTCCTGTAGTAATGTGACTTACACAGACTACAGTAGCTACGAGTTCAGAGAGTCCAACAGAGAGGGTCATATAGGAGATCATTCTTTCATCAAAGCCAGCTGCCTGGAGGACTTCAAAAGTATAAAAATAAATCTGGGAAAAAACACATAAAACAGTAAGAGAAAAAAATAACTAATTTCTTACCCATACCTGTGTGACACTGCCCTGGATAGGAGTTGTTCAGCAAGAAACATGCAGATCAGCTTTGGAGCGAGCTAGAATTCTGCACTCTTTTTCAGAGTATTCACTTTATTGGCAGACAAAACCATTGTAAAATGTAATTAATTGACTAATTAATTAATTCATTCCATAAAGGATAAAACGCTGGGATAAAAGGACCTCCAACTTCTGCAATGTAATTAGGTTTGCAGATTCCTGATTTAGGTGCTTTCAGAGACAGCTAGGTATATTATCACTTCTGGAGCCCATCAAAAAACATCATTGTATACTGTTGTATACTGTTCTTTCTCAAGAAAGAAGAGTGTGAGTTACGGAGTCATGAGGGGGTAAAACAAGCATCTTTTATTTTCAAGTCTCTCTGCTATTTGTAGATAAAGATGATACAGATTCCAGTTTAAGCTGTGTTAGACTCATCTGTGTATTTACTTTACAGATGTTGCTGCATCATGATGTTAGAAGTAGAAAAATCATGCAGGCAATTGTGAAGCTGTGCCTTCAAAACGATCCCAGAAAAGTGCTGCTTAAGGAAGAGGCAGAGAACTGCAGAAGCTTCCAGAATGGTAAGCATGCTTATTGATTAGTGTTAAAGGTAGAGTGATCATACTGCCATCCCAGCATCTTAGAATAATAGGAGCCAGGGACCAAATAACAGCAGTTGCAGAGAACCGTAACCTAAAAATACATTGAGGATTCTGCCAATATAGGGTGGGCTCATTTGTAAGAGTGCATTCTGGGGCCTTTTAATGGCTTCCAGAAATGGCTGTTAAATAAGACTAACTACCGAGGAAGGTAACTCCAGCAAGGACCAAGAGCTGGGCATGAAGAGCCAAGTTTTGCAGACTGCTGCATGTACTCCTGTAAAAGGGCTGACAGACAGCAAGTTGTGGCCTGAGAAGCCTAAGAAAAATGGGGGGAGCTCCTAGGAGCCATGATGTCTCCTCTAAGGTTGTCAATAAGTGTTCTGAGACTTTAAGGGGGAAATGCACTCAACTGCATTGATGCCACATAGCTGAACTGTGGCGGTCAAAATAACTATCATGTACAGCTGCCAACGGAAAGCTGGTTCTTTCATTAGCTCCAGGACACTCAAGATCTTGGTGTTTTTCATTGTTGCCTTCTCTTTCATGATGTCATCAATCTCTGCTTGGTGATGGCCTTCACCCCAAAGCTGCCTTATGGCTGTGGAGGAGAAGGAGAGCGAGAGCTGCCATGTTAATTCATCTGTTTGTTGCCTAAGGAGTTTGTTGAGTAGGTGATGCAAGAGTCTGGCAGCACAGCAGGCATGGGCTGTGGCTGTGGTGTGAGGCAGAGATGTCCTATAGTGTGTTCCAGAGCCCTGGTCCCCTCCTGCACAGCGGGACCTGTTCTGACAGTGGGGCCTAGTGAGGTGCACAATGACTCCCTCCCTGCCCATGGGTCCACTTTTCTCCCTCCTTCTCTCAGGGTACGAGCGGGGTACTCAGACAACAACTAGAGCTGAGTGGTGTCATGTGGAGCCCTGAAATGCAAACAGCCATTTGTCATTTATCACTTATCATTTATCATTTATCACCAGACTGACCACTCAGATGGTATCAGCTGAATGTGAAAGGTTTTGTAACACGTAACTGTAGAGAGAAGTATTTTCATGTTCTATGTGGGGACTACAATAAAAATATACTTAGTAGGTATTCACAGAATCATCTTAGAAATGAGCAAGGAGAAACTTTGTCCTGTTTATTTTTTTCCATATGGGGAGAGCAAACATCACAAGCCAAGTGAGGAACAGGAACCAGAAGCCTTCGGTTACCTTTTTCGTAGCCTTCTTGGTCTCCTTTATGCATGAGTAGATATGGTGGGGACTCAGGGAAGAAGGGCAGAGTGACCAGCTGGACCAGTGCTGGAAGTCCACAGGAGGCCATCAACAGGGGCCACAGCGACTGGCTGCCCAGCAGCTCCCTGGCGGGGATAAAATGTGTGTGTAGAATAAAAGTTCATTACATTGGTTTTGAGGAGAGAAAGGAATGAATGGAAAAGCAGAGGAAGCTAAAGGTAGAGGGGATGCAGAAATGAATTGGATGGGAAATCAATTGTATTATACCTTTGTCCTGAAATTTGCCCTACAGCTTTTCCCAGTGACCAAAAGAAAGAGCAAGTAGAATTTGCAAATCCACGTAGCTTCCTAGGGGAAATTTCCCCAACGTATTGATGATGTAGAGGAACACAAAGACCTTGAGGTGAGAAGAGAATTATGGGAGAGAAGAAAGAAGACATTTATAACCACTGAAAATAAACTTGCATGTAAATAATTAAGCATTAGGGAATATAGCTGCCTCCTGCACCAAATTGTTTGTCATAACTCAACCCATGTATGAGGTTTTTCAGTACTAGATTTTCTAACCCTTTTTACAAAAGTACTTGGTTCCTGACCTTTTGGCACAATGCTGTTTCCTGATCTTAAGAAATGTACAGTTTTCCTTTGGGGTGTAGGTGTAGCCTCATCATAGTATCTCTTGTGAGCCTTAGCATATTTTAAAGGACAAAGTATGCAAGTGCTGAATAGCTAAACACCCTGTAGTAATATTTAATTTGCTTGTAGTTAACTCACATAATCTCAACCTTTTCTGACGTGATACTTTAGAAGAGCTGTATGGTAGGTCCATGACAGATTAAAATATTCAGTGTTGATTTGTACATGATTTTGGGGGAGACACAAGTATTTCTTTTCCACTGTCCAGCAATAATTTTGATGATTTAAGGCAGAGTTGATATTTGCAGCTATTAGTGAAGTACTTAATAACTCAGGTATTCTGAAAACTAGTCTGGGAACAAGAGTTTTTTCCTGATACTGTGGTCACAGCCCCTTTTATCTGTTTCAAAATCAACATGTTCTCCTAGCTTTATGTAATGGCAAAACAATGGAGATATGAAGTCTCTTTAACAAAAATTAGGTCTTTGCATGAGGCATGATACAGGTTCTATATCATAGTAGGGTAAGTTCATGGGTAGTTCTCAAAATACAACTGCTGTTCTTCAGTACAACTGTACGTCAGGGAAGCAGTGTACAAAATCTGGCTATTTGAAAAATAGACATTTATTTCTAATGAAGTAAGTTAAAATAGGCATCCCTATGAATATCCAAACTGAATGGAAAAGCAACTTTTCATGTAGGAGACAAAACCAAGGCATACTGATACCAGCACAGGATGGTTTTGGTGCATGTGGGCTACCTGCCAGGAGTGATTTTGTTTGCTTATGCCCAGCTCTTTGTACTAACCTCAAGGAATTACTGTTTTGAAACAGGTTGAATACCCTTGTAGACCATACCTGAAATATGTGCAGAGTCAAAATTAGATGGCTATGGCCTTGAACAGCCTGGTTCTCTGGAGCCTTAAGTGAATACTAGCTTTAAACCATATACCATATAATTTCCAGTACTATTAACCAAAATTAAGGTAAACTTATATGTATTTTTCCATCAGAAAAAAACCTTGTTTCATATTGTATCAAAACATTCCTGACCATTCTGAATATTTATGCACTTAGGAAAGCTGAATTTCATATGGTATCAGTGAAATTAGTAGTAATTATGCTCTTCATTGCTGGGTATTATGGAAGATCTGACAAGGGATCACTGACTTAAATATTTTATTTTCTTAGTGGAGGGTTATTATTTACTTGAATAAAGATGTGAGATTTTGGGAGATCCTGCTGACCTTGTGGGAGAAATGACTTACCTGCACTAAATCCACACATGAAGCGTCCAATTAGAATCATCTCAAAGGACTGGGCTACTTTACTGCAGCCCATGATGGATGCTGCCACTATCATAAGCAGATTATTGCACAGGAGACATTTCTTTCTGTAAGTCCAGGAAAGTAAAAAGAATTTTTGTACATCAGAAGGAAAATGCACTTGTAGGATGTCTTGGACTCATGTAGGATGTCTTGGGTGAAATTGTCTTGCTAATTTTGTGAAATTGAACATATGTGGTCCAGGACAAAATAAGCCCTTCCACACTGTTGGCACTGGATACTCTGGACTCACAGTGTGCTTTAGCACACAGCTAAACCTGGGGTTTTGGAAACACTTCTGGGTTTTGTAATGGAGAAAAGTCTTAAAGCTTTTCTGCACTTGAAAAAACATGATGAAATACATTGATGTAGAATTTAGGAGCATGTCAATGTGGATATGTTTTGAGTAGCACCTCCAAGAAACCCATTCTGTCTTCATCTAGGAGGCTGTCTTTCCTCCTTGCCAAGACTAACCCAACCTGAGTAATTGCATCTGTTGTGGCAGGCTGACAGCACAGTTGATTATCCTGTGCCACAGGACAAGTGCAAGAAGCAGCAAAGTCTGTTGACACCACTGCTAAGGTGGCTGTATTACAGCCATGACTAAGCCTAAAAATCTGTCTCACATTTAAAACCCCACTATCATTTCCTTAAGATAAGATTCAATTGACAAACTGTCTTTAAATATACATACTTGCCATACTTGACAGTCAGGTATCTACTTCCTGAAGAACCCAAGAGACCTCCTATACCAAAGATGGACACAGTGATAGACCATAGGAACAAGAGGTTATCCTGATGGATGGGGTAGCCGTATCGCTCCAGCCAGGTTTCATTAATGAAAGCCTTAACATGCTGAGACAGGAAAAAGAATTTCATTAACTATAACTGTGACTCCAGTGCACGGCTTTTATTATATTTAGAATGTAATTTTGTTGCTTCAGCTAAAGTCACTATTTCATATAGACTCTGAAAGTGTGCATTAGCTAATAGATGCAGTGTAATAGAGTATGGTGTGTTTGTTTTGCCATTAAAAGGAGTTAATTCTTTGGTTTTTTGTCCTTGAAATCCAAGGAACTGAGGCATGAACTTGTAATGAAGAATAGCAAGAAACAAGAGCACTGAGGTAGGCACATGTACTGTAGGTTTATAGGGGAGTCAGATACCACCCCAGTCAGTGTGCATCTTCTGAGGAGCAGTTCTATGAACAACAACTTGCAGGTCTCTCTCTTCTATTTTCAACATGTTGACATGTTCTGCTTTACATGGTAGCATAGTGATGGGAAAGAATCACAAGAAGGTAATAATTAATAATTAAACAGTTGCTGACTGCCAGAAAGGAGCATTCTCAAGTAGGAATGTAGACTCAGTGCCACTGTTAACCCGTATGCCATGTGTATCTTTGCCTACCTGAGACATGTAGGTGATGGTAGAAATTTGAAAGCCAATTTGGAATGTTCCACCGATCCCCAGGACAGTGATAATTTGAAAGAGCCCCCGGTACTGTACCTGCAGAGGTAGAACAAAACCTTCTTAAGTTTGTAGATGCATCAGGCTGTTCTTGGAATTAATTCTTCAGAAATGTCTTGTTTGTTCAAGGGGTTTGCAGATAGGCATGTTCCTTTTGCTTGCTCTGTTGTGAAGTGTACATCCTCCTGGGATTTCCCTACATCCAACTCAAGGAAATGCAGCCTTTATCTATGGAAACCACTACACTTCCCTCCCCTCCTTGATAATTAGTCAACAGAGTAGCAAGCTGAAGGTCATTCCACACTCCAGGACTAATACATGCAAGAGTAGTTTTGAGGAGGGAGGTCTTACTTTCCTCTGTGCTATCTGGACAGTGGTCAGGCTATCTGCAGCTTTCCTATCTTATCAGACATTTCCTATCTTATCTGAGAGAGCAGCTGCTGTGCTAGCTACCCTTCAGGCCCTTGAACAGTGGGCAATGATCCTTCAACTCAAGCTTTGTGCTCACAGCAGCTAACAAAAAATAATTCTGAAATGGGCAAAAAGACTGATGTTACTTGTAGCATGTTTTTCCACTCAGGTTTCTGTCAGTGTGGCAGCCCATGGAAATCCATGGTTTTATCTAGATGGAGAGGAGGGAACAGTAAAGAAAAGTCTTGGAACAGAATTTCCTTTCTGCGCAGGTTCTGCTCAAGCTCTGCTGTAGGAGGAAAGTGTATTTTCTAGCTCTTAGTACCATCACCAGTTCTGAACTCTTTCCCCTCCTGCTTCTCTCAAGCAGCATGGTCATCTTAATCTCTTGGGAGCTTTGAGAACAGGCATTCCACTATGATTTTTTTTCTAGTTTGTTACGGATCCAAAAATACACAACTAGCAGTGTACTTGGGCTTACACTACAGTAGCCTTTGCAGCAGAGCACAGTCAATATGCTGTGAATGAATGAAAAATTGCCAGCTTTTCAGAGGTGCCCTGCCATATTCCTCTTTCCCGGATGAGGGATTAAGTGTGCCTAACAGGAGCTGGGAGCTCTTTCTCAAAGAGACATTGTCCTAACTGTAGGTGCCTCACTGATGTGTGAGGGTTCAAGACTCAGCCATAGCCAGGATATAAATGCTGTAGTCTCCCACAAACATCCCTATTAAGATGTCACAGCTGCCAACATCTGGTCCTGTTCCATGTCTTTCAAAACCTCTGTCTGTCATCTCTTGCACTAAATAATTAGTGATGTATTTTAAAAAAAAATTTTTTTAGCAGGTAAGCAAAGAAAGTTGTGTTTGAGAGTAAACAAATACTTTCCAGTAAATGAAAACATTTAAGAAATGTTAATGTATTGATAAAAATATGACAGAGATGTATGGCAGAGCATATGAAGTACAAACATCTGTAATATCTCGAAATGGTGGGCAGAACCACTTCTGAGATGCTTTTTGTGAATAGGAGTATTTTTTTTACTGAGATACTGATTTTGGTTTCTTTGAAACACTAATAGCGTACAAAAATGTCACAGATGTAAGTACCCCACCAAGTACTTACCATGTCTGTTAGGAAGCCGGTCATCTCTGGCTAGGGTCTGGTTGTCCAGTGTGTGATGTGTCATCACAGGCTTCTGTGTCTCTGTCTCCTGCCTGCTGGTATAGCAATGGGCAGTTGGCTTCAGGGACCAGAGTTAAATTTTTACTATTTTGTCTTCACTCACTTATATTTACTTCAACTGGCCAAAGTTAACACTGCTGGATTAAATATTTCAGGAAATAATTTGCAGGTGGAAAGTTTCAAAGCAGAGGAAGTTAGCACTTGCGGGGTAGCGAGGGCTTTGGAGAGGGAAAGGAGAACAGTTCAGGCAAAAAAATCCAAACAGTTTTCCAGGAAGAGTAAAATACTTTACTTCTATGATACAGACCAATGAGTATGTCTGCCATAATCTGCACAAAGCAAAAAGCAGCTGGTACAATGTTTAGGCACTGTTATTTATTATTAAGTAAATTATGTGGTATTCTGTTTCAGATTAGTTGATATATAATAAATATAATTTATTAGATTAAAAATAGGCAAATTTCAAAGCCTAATTTTGCTGTTGTGGCTTTATGTATCAGTTAAACTGTACTGAGGAAGGGTATTTCTTGTCTGGAGTTTATAGGGATGTTTGTTGGCCAGGTGTGGTGAAAAGGCAGTAAGAGATATTGTGCCCTGACAGAGGCTTTTGGAATAGAATATCTGGTTTTGAAGACTCCACTTGAAACAGCCAGTAACTAAGACCTACCTATGCATGAGAGCAATCAAAGAAGGAAAATATTCCCTAAAGAGATAGGATGGGACAACTGGGATCTTGATCCCTCAGGTTTCACCTTTAATACAGACCAACACCAAAATCAGTGTTGCATCCATTGAAAAGTCACCTTTGGTTCCCAGAGGCTCTTCTCTTGTGCGCTGAAGCTCAAACTGTACTTGTATGTGACTTCTGCTAGACAGCACTTGGAACAAAAAGGTTTGCATGGGGCTTCCGTGTGTGGTTGATGCCCTATGCTGTTCCTGCTTTCAAAATCTTCTGCTTGCTCTTACTCATGCCAGGGGACTTTCACCCACCCCCAAGGCTTGGGGTGGGGGCAGATGGGGTAATGGAGTTGTACTGAAGCCCTTGATAAATGCCCAAGCTCACCTTCAGGACTTGTACTTTCATTTCATAAAACACAATGCAATTATTTACAGAGGAATTTACTGCAAATACTGTGAGTCTAAAGAAATGAGAAAAAATACATGTTAATAATAAAACCTTGGTTACTTGTGTAATTCCAACTATTGCCTATATAACTGCATATCAAATGCTGTTTATTCTGGCTTGCAATACCATTTAGAATGATTTGACATTTTTGTGACTATTTTCTCTTGATCAGCGACAATTGTAACATTCTGATTGTACAAAAATGCAAGCTGCATAGCTATTGTTTCAAAATTTTAATGTTTCATTTTTATTACATTTCTCAAATCCTATCAAAGAGTAGGGGAAGTTATGTCATAAGGATGCCTAAACTCCTTGAAAATAGTTACTGAGAATCAAAAAGAGCAACAATTCCACCAGCTCACAGTGAAATTTCTCTTACATTTTTGAGGGTTTCTGGTGATTCTGAGCTGCACATGACTGCATAGCATGGTGCTGTTTCACTTTATCAGCAATTTTAGGAGGATTTTATCCTAGGAGTTTACCTCTTGTTTTTTGTCAGGTCAGTGGAATTGACCGTTTCTGTTAAAAATTTCACCTATATTCTAGAAAAAGCTCTGTTACACTATGAACGTTGTGCATGTTTTCATGTTTAAGGAATTATTACAGCATTAAGGAGATCTTTTAATTGGTTCTATATAGAGCTGTAAGAAATGCTTGCTGTGAAATGGACAAACACATGAAACTCTAAAGTGCTCAAAGCTGGGCTTGGTTCTAAGGCAGCTTGATCTACTGTAGAACAAGTAGATATTAAGCAATATCTACTGTATTGCACACTGTGAATGTCTGAAACCATCTGCAATTTAATTTCACACTGAGAGGAACTTGGTGTTTTTTTCTAGGTTTGATTTGAGACTTTGGATTTGTTATAATCCAAGACTACAAATTAAATTCTGAATAGCAAAATCACAGAGGCTGGAACTAAAGAAATCATTTAGGCACAAAATATTTCCCAAGTGAAATCTGTAAATTTAGCATAGTACATACTTTATGTTATGATGACTTACTGATTATTGACTGCTCTCAGGTTTTTAGGGTGATATGAAAGTAACTTTCATTCATGAAGATTCCACTTGTGTCTACGAAGAAATATTCATATCTTTTCCAGTAATGGAAAACAAATAATTTGCCTTTGTTTTGTTTTGCAGTCTGCAAGCATCAAGGTCCTTTATGACCTTACTTAATATATGGTCCTTCTGCTGACCAGGTAGAAGCTAGTGTAGGTGATATGTTCCTCAAGAGAAGTATTTCCAGTAAAGGAATGAGGTCTCTTCCTAAAATGTAAAGCGCCAAATTCTTCAGTTGTTTCCATAATCAAATTCTCCTTTGTCTTTGGAAGGAAGAGGTAGCTGAAGATGCCTGAGCTGATGAGGATTCTGGTAAAGATAAGGAGAAAGAGAGGAGTTTTTCCTGGAAATAAAACAGAGAAAGATTTTTTTGTTTGTTTGTTTCTCCTTTTACAGCACTTTGAACATGATGATAAAATGATGACATTAATGGCAAAGTTTCTCTTAGTAGCTGTCTATATCCAGTTTGTTTTTTCTCTGTGACATGAGACACACCAGTCTTTAGGTGTGAAACAGCAATGGGAATAAAATAGTTAAAATTTTCTTCTTACCTGAAGGGAGAGAGTAGCTGTGAGGACAAACTGTGCCAAGGCCATGAAAGCATAGCCCTTGAACAGCAATGTCTTCCTGCCAAACCGCTCAATGGTAAAGGTCTGTAAGGACAGGAAAAACACTTGCTTCACTGTAAGCACAGCTAAAGCCCAAGTAACACCCTAATACAGTGCCCCTTACACACAGCAGTGTGGAAAGAAACACAGAGACCAATTCCTAGTGATACATATGGAATAAGGCCTTCTTCAATCCCAGCTGTGCACAGCACCTCAAAAGTGCAGAAATAGAGCTAGAAAACACAATGGAAGAAAAAACTTGCATTGGAAACCATGGATTGCATGAGTGATACCACTGCTAATGTCAGAAATGGTAAGCAAGCAAATGGGGTGCATTTCTACCAGTGACCTGTCCTTTTTGCTGACTGTTGAGAAAATACTTATTTTCAAGAATAGGTTAGAAGTAGAAAGTGTCTTTTTAAAAGATTTTCACATATTTTCAACAGAAAGAAACTGCTATCATTTTAGTATCAGTCCTGGTCATCATCTGATGCGAGTCATCTCTGGTCCAGAAAAACAAGTGATACAACTATCATCATCATATTTTAGTGTTGGACCTACAGAAATGAAAATAGAGGTGTTGATGATGGGTGAATTTCCTGATGAAGATGAGGGAATTCACATGAAGCTTTTTCCTTTCTTTTCTCACTGTAGGTACAGCTATTCTAGCCCCAGTATGTCCAGGCAGGCCCAAGAAAAGAGACAAAAATATGGGAGTAGAAGGCTGTAACAGGCAGTCACTTGGAGAGGCTGTGCTTTGCCTTCTAGCCAGTTTTATTAGTCCTGCTGACAACAGGCACAGCTACTGAAGCCATAATATTTACAGAACACAACCTCCTTTGAACAAATGCAAACATAACCCTGACACACTAACAGTGATTCCACTGCTTGTATTCTATTCTGTTGGATGCCAGCTGCAGCCTCGTAACAGTGATTTTGTCCCTGATGCATGGACCTGTACTGAAATAAATAAGGCTAGATGGCACTTAAATTTCCAACTTCTTCTGGAAGACACCTTCACAGTCACAACAATGACACTGAAGCAGCAGTACAAAGATGAGAAAGCAAAAAGATAAGAGCCCAGCTTACTTGTTTTATTTCTCCTTTTTAGTAAAAGATAGGCAGGGTGAGTAGTCAAAATAATTTGAGATGTTGCTTGCAGAAGTATGAGAAAGAGAGACCTTGGCATGGGGTTAAAACAACCTGCAAGCATTAATATTGGTGGTTTAATCATATACTGCCTGGTTTATCAGTAACTGCAAGAGATGCAGCAATAGTAAGGATTTGTGAGAAAAGGCCTCCCAAGGTTTGGCACATTGGATTTGTGCAGCTTGGGAGGTTGAATGCTTGAGATAGAAAGGTTCCTTGAGCCATGAAGTAGTGAAGGTGCCCAGCAAGACTGCCCATGAAGGATTGACTTCTTGCAGGAGGCAATGGAGCTACAGCAGAGTAAGCATGGCTGGACTTCATAAGAGAGGGATAGAGGGATCCAAGTCTCATGCGTTTAAACCTGACATGGTGCTGTGTGACAGGGTTGAACGGTCCCTCTGCAATGTTCTAGCCGTGCTTCTGCTGAGACTGGTTCCTGTAGAAGGACCAGCAAAGACAAAGTGACACTGACCAAGATTACAACAGAAAATTCTGTTTTCTGTACATGCAGAAAGTTTGAGACTCCTAAGAAGGTATGAAAAAGAGAAAGAGGATAGTAAAATCGGAGAGAAGGAACTGACAAATGAAAATGGAAGTTACCACAGAAGAATACACTATTGATCTGGTACAGTGCCAATAGTGAACACTGATCCTAACATGTATTTTTTCATATATCTATTTAGTTAGTTACTCCATGGCTTTAATGTCTGTTCATCACAGTTCAGAAGTACTACCACTTGCAATTGCACCATGTTGTGAAATCTGTGCAAACTGGGAAAAGAACAGCATGGAAGAAGATCAATGCCGTATTTGTGTTCTGTTTTGTCTCATGCTGTTCTTATTTTCAAACAGGTGATGCAGGCATTAGAAATTTCCCTTTACAACATTGTTAGAGAAGCTGCAAGCTGTATAGAAGCATTGTCACAAAGGGGATAGGAGAAGAGGTCATGGTGACAAAAAGAAGCATAAGATTTCATCCTAGATGCAGACAGCACCTCATTAGTTTTTTTGGAAACAATGAGGTGTGGGGGCACAGGAGCTGTGTGGACAGGTTAACATACTCAAGCCAGTCTGCCCCCAGTATTATTGACGAACAAATATTCGTAATTCAAAGCTTCTTTTCTTAAATACCATGGTGCGTTTATTGCACTTTGCCAGCTCGGTGAAGCTCTCTCTTTTTCTGTTAGGTAGATAGATAGTGACCGCCAGTTTTCCAAATAAGGAGTGGTAGATGGATGGGGAAAAACATCCAGTCAAATCAGCAGCCAGTTGATGGCCAGGAGTAAATCTCATGACTGCACGACTCCCACCCAGATACAACTTCTTTTATAGTGTCTGCAAGCTTAAACTGCAGAATTTTCTTATGGACACCTACGAGTTGTTTTAGTGTGTGGAGAGGGGAAGCTACCCAACTGCATTAATGCCAAACAATTGCAAAGTTATGATCACAATAATCAAAATGTACAGCTGTCAGTGCAGTTTGGTTTTCCATCACTTCCAGCACACTCGGGATTTTGATGTTTTCCATTGCTGCCTTTTGTTTTTGCAGGTCATCACTTCTGCCCAGTGCTTTCCTTCACCCCACAGTTTCTTCACAGCTGTGCAGAACAAAGAGGAAAGCTTGATACCACTGTACTATTCATGCATCATAATATTTATATGTGCAGATTTATTTAGATTATTAATTATTTGGCTATGGTTTTCGACATCATGATATTAACAAGCATGGTATGAGAACACCAGTGACGTATGTTTTTATCCTGTGTTCACCATCATGCAGAAAATAAGATTCAATCCTATCTCACAGTTGTTAGTATATAAACCTTAATTAATACTATACAGTTGTTAAAACATCAGTATAGTCTCTGATCTCTCTTTCTCAGTCTGATCACATGGCTCTTGCTACAACACCTTTGAGTTTCCTTCCTTGAACCTGAACAGAGAAACTATGGTCACAATCACTGGTGACTCTTTGCACTGATAACGCAGAATATTGATTCATTAGAGGGCTTTGTGTTTGTATGCATGTGTGATTTCATGTAGCATTACAAAGACATGCTGTATCTGGACAGCGAGTGAAAACAGTATGGAAATGCCTCACCGCTTAAATACTAGAGGGCTTTTAAACTTTTTTTTTTCTAAAAATCAGTTTCTCTACCCAGCTAGAAATTCCTTCAAAGTTTTCATAAAATTTATTTCTGTATCTCTTGATTTTTATTTTGCATGTTAGCTCTAATTTTTACAGTAACAAAATTAGAAGAAATATTCACTGTCCACCCTATTATTTTGAAAATAATTTGGTACATATATATTGTATTTTCTTTAGGAATGGTAATTGCAACAGACAACCTCTCAATTCTTATGAAAGCTTAATATTTACAGCCAATACTGCCAGCTGTAGGACTCACCACTTCCAAAAGGAGCTTTTCCATCTTTTATCGAAAGGGTGGCTGATCCAAGGCAGACAGAACTCTGTTAGACTGAGGAAGGGTTTTCTGTCATGCCTTTTCTGCACCTGCTGCTTAAGTAATCATCTGACTCTGAGTTTAATATTTACTTTGGATAATTTCTGTTGACTGATGTTTTTTTGCAGCAATTGGACAGCACCTAGAATGGATGGATTAAATATTTCAGTGTCTCAACAGTAGAAGTCCCTCTGAATGAGAATATTTTGTAGCATTAGTGCTCCCTATTTTGATACAGGGAGTGAAGCAAGATCAAATACAAAATCTAACCCAGGTTTCAGTTCCTGGAACACACACTAGCACTTTAATATCAGAGCTTCTTTGGTGGCTATTCTTTTAGAAGTAGCAAGCACATTATTTGAAATTTTAAAATAGAAAACTCCCTAAAACTCAATGCTGATTCAGTGCTCTAGCACAATGATAATTGCAGAAAGATAGGACTTATGGTCCTGCTAAACAGGAGGCATGGTATATAGTTTGTAACTGTGACAGAAAATGGAAAAATAATTGATTGTCCTGTACAAAGGTAGAAAAGTTTGGGGAGGGAAGTGATAAAATGCTGCAGTGGTCAGCAGGATTAACAGCTCTTGAATAGCAGCGGTACATGGGTACTGTGGAGCATAGCAGTGGTAACGTGTAGTATTGTATGCTGATGTGCACTAGTAGAGTGTAATGTGTCCTAGGCCAGTACACAGCTAGCAGCGTTACTATCACAGCTTCTGCTTTTTTTTTTTTTTTTTTTTTTGAGTAATTATTTATAAAAGAGTGTCTGCTCTCTCAGTACTCTCTCAAAGTGCCTTACGTCCTGTCTCATGCCAGGGCTCCATTCCTCCAGCTCTCAACACTGCCTGTATGTTAGTTAACCCTTGTGCCATCCATGAGGTACCAAGAATAAGGCTGAGAGCATTGCTTACACCAAAAACTTGCTCCATACTTTACTACAACTGATATGCATGGAGGGTGCAGTCAGTTTGCTCCGGAGGATGTAGGTGAGAGTTCTTCTGCACTAAACACCCAGGGATCAGAGCTGATCCCTGACAGTCAGTATAGAGACAATCATGACATACAGTTACTTGATGTCAGCTCAAGAAAATAGAATAAAATTGATTTTTCTTTGTTATTCTACCTGGTATTTGTTCATGTGCAGTATTCATGATCAGTACTACATCCTTTACAGTGTGATATCATAATGACATGACATGAAAATTGTTTGCAAGAACTATGTTTATGTTTCATCTTTTCTTCATTCTGCTCTTAATCCTGAGCAGGGCTTTCTTACAAAGTAATAAACATAGAGACAAATCCTGCTTCTTTAAAATGATAGCAAAGGAGAAAGACTTGAAATAAAATTGATGTGTTATACCTGAAAATGTTTTCCATGTGCCAGTTCTGAGAATTGTCTGTAGTTACTAATGTCTTCCTGCTACAGAGCTGTTCTAGGAAGGAACCATTGTCTTACACCATGAAAAACAAAGATTAATATAAAATAGGACTACTCGGATTAATGACATACTTGGATTACTTTTCGGTTTATATTTTATTGAGAAAAGCCCATGTTAAGGTTTAGCTTTTAGTTTGATTTTGAGACAAGGCTTTTTTGTCAATTAAAGTTGCTTATGGTAGCCTATCAGAGCTTGGTGCATAATGTCTTTTCTTCAGTAGCATTCTTCTCCACAGTTTGATGACATTTCTTCTTAAATCGACGTGCTTTGAATTCTTCTGTGATTTCAGAGGTTGACTTCCCTTTTGTTTCTGGGAGGAACAGGTAGATGAGAACTGCTGAAATGACCAGGACAGCAATAAAGATGAAGAAGCAAAAAGGACCAAGAAGCATCTGGAGATAAAAATAGAATGAGATGAATGATTTTCCTGACAACACTTGCTGCTATAGATTCTTGAAAATTGTTGATTTGTCATTGTGAAATGAGGAATATGTTGATTTTACAGAAGGAATATTTATTTATCTTTTCAATCTATTCTTGAAGCAGCAGATGATGTCTAACATTCAGGGAAGCATTTTACATAAATGGCCTCCATATGCCAGTAGCAATAAGGGATTCACAGCTTTAATCATCTACAAGGCATTTCATCCTACTCCCCATCCAGACCAGCCTAGAAAACCAGTTTAAATTGATAGAGTGAAAGAGAATATTTGAATCAAGTTACATACGACAGCAAAGGGAAAAATCATTCCAGTGAAAGTGAGGCCTAGCCAAATGATGATTCCACCAATTACAAAAGCGGAGGACCTTGTTGAGAGGGTGAAGATTTCATTCATGACAGATGTAATGGCTCCAGCTGAGGAAAAACAATAAAAAAGCAACAGAAACATTGTTGTAGTTAACCATTTTCTTCAAAGTGAGTGAACTGATGTCACTGGTCAAACACAGCCCCAGTGAGTAAAGCTACTATGAGATCATCTAAATTTGGGCAGCACAACCATCTTGATCTGAATTTCCCTATAGACTCCTCTTATGGTCCATGGAGAGAGATGGATTCCACGTAACATATAAAATATGGAAACAAATGGCCCTAATGGCCTATTTCTCTCCATTGCCAATAGGAGACACCTGAGTTCTTCTACGGTGGGAATTCTGTTAGGTTTCAAGACATTCATGGTCCTTATATACAGACCTTACAATAATAAAGACTGCCATTTGAATTTGGAAACTGTAATAACTAAAAGTAGTGTTTAGTCAGGGAACTTTCAGAGTAAATGTTGTCTTAGGTGAGTGAGGTCCTAATAAAGAGCCGTAAGTTCTGTTCTGACATTACCGATATAGGTGATTCAGAGTGACATTAAGAGAGGATGAGAAAAGACAGAGCAATGCTCAGAGACAGATTGTGCATGAAGTCAGGTATCATTCTTTAACAGAGTAGGATTTCACAGATGAGTTGAGAAAACTGATATTTTAGAAGAGGCTACCTCTGCCCTTAGGCAATGACAGAGATGGACCAGATGAGCCTCTATACAGTGGACAGTATTCACACCCTCCAAAACAAGTCTTAGTAAATTGATTAAGAAGGTTTTGGGGTTTTTTTTTTTTTTTTTTGCTTGAACCTGTAATCCAGTGAGAGGAAACAGGGTCCTGATTCATCAGGGTCTGAATCATTTCAAGTAATTTTAAAGAAATTGTTTCTTGGGTTATTGACTCATTAGAAATTGGGGCTTCTCAAATTTCAGTCCAAACTAAGCTATTGAATTTTGAAGATATATTCACACATCTAGTTCTACTTCCATATATCCATGGCCTGTGTTTATCCTTGTGGTCCAAGGTGTCCTGTTGTTGCTTTTATTATTGTACTCACCTGGTCCTACTCCATAGGCAATGATGAATAAGAAGATGAGAATAACACTGCAGTAACGCATCCAGAAGAACCGATCCTGGACAAATGCGAAAGGAGGGAAGAGAGTGAAATTTAATGTTATAGCTGTAGCATGGCTGATCAAAACACATAGGAGAAGCAGCATTTATGGAGAAGCCCATGACGCTGGGGTCTGTAGAAGAAGTTAACTAGAACTACTTATCTTTCTATACTGAATAAAGTGGAAGGCAAAAAGTAACCTGCAGTGTCATATCTACAGAGATAAGCTGAACTGCATCCTGGTCTGAAAAACAAGTAACAAATTCTAAGCTAATTATAGCATGGGGAAAACTGTTACTGATTTAACCTAATTGTCTTATTGAAAATAAACTTCAGAGAACTGTTTAAATCTCTTGCGAACCAGAAGATATCTGTGAAATAGAAAGAAGCTGAAAGTTTATGAACTGAGGCCAAGATTGCAATGCAGTACAAAACACTGGCACTGCTGAAGCCATGACGCAAGGTTCCTCACTGCTTTCCACTATCCTGACTGGAAGTAGCTGGAGAGCTGCACTGTGTAGCAGGGTCACTTGTATCAAGGATTGAAATTAGTGGTTGTTAGAAGGGTCAATACATACTGCTTCTGCTGCAGGAGGCATGAGAGAGCAAATAGGAAAGGTGACATCTAGGTTGCTCATCTAGGGATTTAAAGGACAGCAGAACAAGACACAGGTGAGATTTGGAGAGGGCAGGAAGGCAAAGAGCTGGAGGAAAGCTATGCCAGGCCAATGTTATTACAAAATATTTTTCACACACTGTTTGAAAGCCTGATTAAAAGAGATGAACTACAAGGCAGGACAAAATAATCCTTGAAGAGGGGCTATGATTTTGTATTCAGAAGATATTCTGACCTGCTATTTTGGAACTGAAAGCTAAGGCTGACTATCTGCCGTCCTGCACAACTTCTGATGCAGACCCACTCCTAGAGAGACATTTGCTTACACTCAGTAGAAGGCTTGTTTCAAGAAACACCAGTATCAGTGCCATCAGCAAATAACCACCCCATAATAGTATCCGGCGTCCAAAACGATCAATAATGGAGCTCTGAAGAGTAGAAAAAAATTGCATATCACTGGAAGCATGGCAAAATCCAGCTGTCAGCTGTCTAACAAAAAGCATTCTTCTTGAGTTCTTTTTACTTTAGAGAACACAAATCTTATTAGTACCAAATTTGTTATTTTGTTGAATTCCTTCTAGCCTCTCTAATGCAATACTTATAACTATGACAATTCATACAATAGCTGCCCAGCTTTGCAAGTACTTTTTCATAAACACTGTAATAAATGGAAGCATGTTAAGACTCCATTCAAATATATAGATATACACAAATATATGGAAATATGTATATGTTTATGTTTGAATGGCATTTCATTTATATCTGTATGAATAAGATGGATTTTTATAAGAAGTTATGGAAAATGAAGATAGGAAGAAAGATGTAAAAGGTGGGACAAAATTTGGAGCAGATGGTAACAACCACTTTACAGATTTATGCATTACCACAGAAAAAAGTATTTATTTCATAAGGAAAAGATTCCTTTTTTTTAAGGAAGAATAGACTCAACTCCCATGTATTTTAGTTCTTAAAGCCCCAGAAAGGTCTGACTTACACAGAAGATGATAGAGATGAGCTCAGAGATTGCAACTCCTAGAGATACATATGGGATTATGCTTTCCTGAAGGTCGGCTGTCTGAAAAATTTCTGAGGTGTAAAAGGTGATCTGGGAAATAAGAAACATTTTCAAAATCAAGCATAGTCAATATATGTGATATGTGCTTATCTAGCATCACTTAGAACCAGATTTGTCATCACTGCAAAAGCAACAGAACATTATTGGGGCTTAGTGGAAGTGACATACCTGCTTGAGATGTGAAAAATCAAAAGGTTAATAGAGATGAAGAAGAGTGTTTTGAAAATCTGGGGAGGGGAAAAAAAAAAAAAAAAGAAGGAGTTGAAAGGAGCGTACTGTCTGTTTTGGCAAAGAGGAAAAGGAAAGGGACAAGACAGGAAGTGAAGAAAAAGAAAAGCAGATCTCAGTCTTAGCAGACCATACATTGTCATACAAACAGCTGATTCTGTCACCCTTTTTCACCTGCTAAGCAGAAGCTGCTCATCTGCAAAGTCCCTGATGGGCTGGGCACCATTTCCCTGTGAGCAGAGCACAGAGGTGCGTCCTCTGCCCACATTGCTGGCAGCTGAAATGAACAAGCTCCAGCAGAGTGCACAGGATTAAGCAAGGTTTATGGAGAGAGACTCATAGGAAAGTGATAAAAATGACATCCAGGGGAATGACTAATAGCTTGGGCTGTATTGGGCTCAGCCACCTTTATGCAGAAACAATTGAAAGGAAATTACTTGATGGATAAAACTCCTTTATCAAGTGGAATGAAAATTGTATGGCAATAGCTGGCTGTCTACTACTGCAGAAGTCAAAGAAAGTGGACCTGGAAGTCTAGATAAATAGATCTCTGGGTTGTAGCAAGCCTTAGGGTATTTATAACCCTTTCTCCTACTGAGACTTTGGTAATACCACCAAGGGAATGTACGCAACAGTGCCTTTGTAGGAACTTGTACCAAGTTGGAACTCTTGTATTCCTGCCCGAGAAGTTCCCTTAAAGGTATGAAGAATACTGGTGATGATACCACAGATCTTCACAGGCAGTGGGTTTGTGTGAGGAGGAATAATGTAGATCCAGAGGAAAGTAAAAAGTTGGAGTTGTGGTGCTTCAGTTATCTAACAATAGATGTAAGCATGCAAATATGTTATACTCAACTGCACTCAGGCCACAGAGCTGTAGACTTAGCAAAAGTAGGAGCATGGTACTCAGCTGTGGGTACACAGATGGTTCTTTCAGCACTTCGAGGACATTCATGATTTTGGTGCCTTTTGTTACAGCCTTCTCCTTCATCATGTCATCAAATTCTGTGTGATAATTCCCTTCTCCCCAGAGCTGCTTCATGGCTACAGAAGAGACAGAATAAAGTATAATCCTCCATCATCTGTTCCGCTCAGTGTTCTGTGTTATTCAACTTCTAATGACATTAAGCATCTGCAGTTCAGTCCATGTTTTGATTCATCAGTCACTGAGCAAAGAACTAGAACATGGCTTACTGGAACATGCTGAGACGTCCCTGGAAAATGGCTTTCTATTTGCTGTAGTATTTAGGGTTAGTTCTTAAATATTTCTGATGACTCTAATTAGTTTGGAGGACTTTAATCATGTAGTTTCCAAGAAAACTGTAGTCAGCTAGTAGAAAACCTGATTCCCTCTATTGGCTTCACTTTTCCAAGAGTTATGGTTTAACAAACTAAGGATCTAAAGTTTTATTTTACCTTTCAAGCAACCAGCCTTGTCTCCTTTTTGCAGCAAAAGATAGGGAGGGGACTCAGGAAAGGACGGCAAAAAGAGCAGTTGAATCAATGCCACCAACCCAGAGAAGGACAATAGCACATTCCACATGTCTTCAGTTCCTAAAAGATCTCTATGAAAGCATGTTAGAGTATATTTATAGTACAGTACAATTACAGTCCATAACTAATTTGGTGTTTTCTAGATCCCAGACTAGCTAAAGAGACACAATATACATGTGGACCTTGAAAAGATAAATTGAAATAGAAGATGTTTAGGCTAGGGAAAGAAAAATAGTCTAATACTTCATTTCTACGGCAAGACTAAGTTGTTTTTTGTTTTGTTTTTTTTTGTTTTGTTTTGTTTTGTTTTGTTTTGTTTTGTTTTGTAATTTGAATATTGTCTAAAAATCAGTGGAGTTTGAATATCCCCAAAACAGCCCTCTGAACCAATACTGAGATTTTGCATGAAGTTACCAAGAAATTAGCAAAGATTTCAGATCTTGAAAGTTTACTAAGGGTGTTTACATGTAGTCTTTTCTTATTAATTTAGAGAGACCACACCACTGGAGATGGAGTTATCCTTTCTCAAGAGAAGGGCCTTTTTCTCCCCAGTAAATGACATGGAAACCTCAGTGACTGGTATGGGGTAGATGCATCCTTTCTGACAGCTGTAGTTAAGCAAAGTAAAACCCTACCCTTAGTGTATGCCTGTTTCTAGGATTGAGAGAACACCACTTCCCTGCCATACAGAAGACAAATAAATAGAGAATAGGATGAGAATGAGTAGCACCAGTACCGTAATCCAAGAATTCTTGCAACAGCTTTCCCTAGTGCAAGGAACACTGAAGAGGTCACATTTACAAATCCACGCAACTTCTTAGGTGAGATCTCTCCAGCATACTGAACATGAGCATTTATATGTATTCCTAAAGTGAAGAAGATGCAAGAGAACTAAAGCTACAGAAAGCAAGAGAGAGGGTCCCTTTTCCTTTCACCTTCACTAAAGGTAGCTCTCTCCTCTCTTTTCTGAACTCTTTGCTATATATCTTCCACAATAATACACTGAAAATGTACCTTTTACTTTAAGGAAGATGTTTAGCTAATCCATCAGATCTCTCTCTCAACAAGACCTCTTGAAGGCAGAGGACAGCTCATCTTACCTTTTCCCAATCTGTTCCTTGTTCCACTGGGGTTACTGTGCATGCCCAGGTACTCCCAGCAGGAAGATTTCTGTATCCACCCCAAAGAAGCCACATTAACATGGAGTAGTGGGGAGTCCTACCAGCACCGATGCCCTCAAGGAAGCGCCCAATCAGGATCATCTCAAAAGACTTGGCTCTCCTACTGAAGCCAGTATGCAGCGTGGCTATTATTAGGACCACATCGTTAAACAGCAGACATTTCTTCCTGCAACAGCAAATGTCACATGGGTGTGATCCACATGTGACTTTTTCATCTTTGTCTAATGTCTGTCTGTTCACTAGATTGACAGACCAAGCTATGGCCATGTTTAAATCTATTGCTTATAGGACAACTGTATCCGATTACAAAAAGGCATGATGTCTTTGCAGGGGAGTGGAAAGGGAGAAGCTAGATTCCTCTTTTCCATGCTAAAATTGTGTGAGTATACCATAAGGCTGAAGGAAATTGCTGCAGGATAAAGACTTATTTTAAATTCTTTTCTGTGGGTGAGGCTCCCATCTCAAACACTGCATGTGTTCCCAGAACAAGGCAAAATCAGCTTTGCTGAGAACTTTCTTCACTGCCCACATCAAGCTAGAGAGTTCTGGCTTTGTCCTTTATGGCCACCCTTAAAGAGTGAGTTCTGAATGTGGCCTGGGGAACTTCTGTTTATCTTAGCTGAAACTGGTTATTCTTACAGAGGAATGAACCTGCACCATTTTTTAAAGTCTGTGATCAATTAAAAAAAAAACAAACAACCCAACAATGCAAAAAAAGTGCTTTTGCCTACAGAATATCTATCCCCTTCTGCACTACTTCAGTGTTGTTGGGCCTAATAGAGAAATTTCAGAGATTTATTTGTTACTGAAATTTCAGCAAAAATACAGGAATTGTATGGCACCAAAAGCTGTAACAAGGGAATCAGAAATTGTTGCATATTTTTGTCTTTTTGGTGTACCTAGGTGTAATTATACATGCTGAGTAGAGTAAATTCTGCACCAAAAGGAGGCAGCAAGAACTCTGACATTCAATATATTAGGTGAATAATATTTAATTACATCCCTTGTTGCATCCCTGATTAGCAAGCTGTTGGGAAATATACTTACTTTCCATATTTTGCAGTTAGGTACCCACTACACAGACACCCTATCATTCCACCTACACAGTACATAGACACAATGAAGGACCACAATAATGTGAGTGTCTCCTGATGCAGCACAGAACCATATCGCTCCAGCCAAGTTTCGTTGATAAACTTCTGAATGTACTGGGACAGAAAAAGAGAATTTTCATTCCACTGTGGCACTGATCACAATAGTTCTTCATAATGTTTACAACTTAAAAAAAATAGATGAATAATCATTACTAAAAGCATGACTATGGGACACTTGTTTGCAAGTGACGATTGATATTTCCTCTCTTCAAAAATTAATTATACTCTCTAGTGTGTTGAATCCTGGCTCTCCTATACCAAAATATTGGGACCTTTTATTGCTTCTAGTGAAGTGCAAATGTTCTTGTTGCAGGTAGCGGATCTAAAGAGAAAAGGGCTGAACTGAATTTTGAGACCAAATCAGCTAGTTTTTAATCTTTTTTCTCCATGGCATAATATTTAAGGTGGGTGTTTCAATATGTTGTTTCCACATAATTCTTGTCCTTTGACAGTGGACAATACGGCATTGGAAGGATCTGGTTAAAAACTTGCATAGCAACACCTAACATTTTTTAGAGCATCTTCAAGGTATAAGGCCTAGTCACATGAACAGCAGTTACAGATGTGATTTTATTAATGCTTTGCTTACCACAGAAGTATAATTGATCACAGACAGTTGAAAACCAGATAGGTGAGTTCCACCAATTCCTAGCACCATAATCATTAGCAGTAGCTTCCGGTATTGAACCTGCCAAAGATGATGAAACACATCCTAAGTTCCTGATACCAGCATGGCTTTCAGACCATGAGATAATTTATGAGATCTTATATCTTCATATTTCTATGATTAAGTAGCCTCTAAAATGAAAAAACCCATTTTGAATTTTTCAATAATCAAGCAAAATGCTGTGAAATTGTTAAGATGCAAATCTGCAAGTTCCTTTAAGTTCTTCTCCAGGTTATTAGCAGCTTGGAAAGATGCAGTCTCTAATTCTGTTAGTTCTGTTAACCACAGGGGAAAAAAATCATAAAAGCCTTGTTCAGATAGTTTGTGTTTGCTTTTGTGCTAGTAAGAAGCTACAGCTTTCTTGAATCCTCTTTTTACTTCAGTTTTGTCTCCTAAGAGACATTGTTCACCAGTTGCCAGAGATCAATCAAGTCTGTCCTCTAAAAACTTTTTTTTACATTTCACTTTTATTATCCCCATAGAAAACTGCATTTTTAGAGTCCCTACTTGAATGAGTCCTATGTGAAATGCTGTGCTTCCATGACGTACACTGGCTTTTAGGGCACCCTTCACAAACACATATGTTTTCAGGCATTTAGGCAGGTCACACTCTAAAGAGATGAGTATTCTCAAGTATCCTTTAGAGTGTAGGGCAGTATACTGGGAGGGTTTTTCTGTTTTGTGTTTTTCATTGCTACTGTTTTCTCTATCTTCCTCAAAATGCCTATTCTTTCCTGGTTTCCCAGGTCCTCTTTTAAACCTTTCACTCTTTTGTATTTCTAATACATTTTCTGGAGATGCTGTGTAGTCAGTCTTATTGCTGAATCAGTGTTGTCCCAGGCATGTGCTCTGTTGCTCATTTTTGTTACAAGAAAGACTGATTGCCTCTGCTATAATCTTTAAAGATCATGCTGCTGTTAGTGACAGGAGATAGAAGACAAGAAGTTGGATACTTACCAGGTCTGAGAGGAAACCAGCCATTTCCCCTTGAAAATCTGCCTGCTCTGAGAGCCCTTGTCAAGTCTGTCAGATGCGAGTTATGTTTTCTACACTTACATTATAAGAAGCTGAAATCATAGCACAGAAGTTAAATTCTAACTATATGGATTTTAGTGAATTGTGTGCTCCTCCAACACTGGCCAGGGCCTCTTCTTGCTGGTTTAATTATTCTAAGACCCAGATATGCCAGGCTGATTACAACATTGGTAAATGTTTATCCATGTATTGGGAGCACTCCCCCCTACTTGCACTGGTAAAACAACTGTGCGTTCCTGTTGTGTGAGGCATCAGGCAGTGCTGCCACCTTTCCTTCAGGGGAGGAGAGCCCCTCTTCACCACTCTGACAAGCAGTTTAGGCAGAGTGTGTTTTCCCCCTCTCCAGTCTGCTAGAGATAAGCCACTTGGTATTGTAATTGAGCTGTAACGCCTCTGCTTGCATGCTATAAGATTTTCAATCGCTTGAAGTAATTTGAACACTTCCCTGTTGCAGAACATGAAGTAACTGAATATTGGCATATTGGGCCCATGCTAACACCCAGTTCTTTATAGAGGGTCACACTGTTTCCAGAACTACTCAGAAGCCTCACTCAGACCTCTCTCTAGCAGTGGAGATGGCCTACTGTGTGCCAAAGTGGGATGCTCATTCTGTTCTGGCTTGAGAATTGATTTTAAGAAGTACTTTTCACCTTAAAAAAAATATTTTGAATCAACTAAAATCTTGAATATTTACAGAGTGTAAGTTAATTCTTGCTTCCTTCAGACTTCTATGTATTACATGCAACCTTTTGGTACTACACTGAATATAACATGCTTGGCTCTATACTACAAAGATTTAACTGTCTATAGTTAGTGCCGAAAGTGGAGGCGGGAGGGTGGGATTACAATTCTGAAGTCAGCTTTGCTCAGGAGCAGGATGGAAGCACTGACATTCCTTCTACAGTTTGCTTTCTATGTTGCAGTGACTGACAGCCCCACGCTGTCCCCTGGGCCGTGTGCCCCGCAGCACGGGCAGGCTGGCTGAGTCACGCCTTGACCTTTCTCCTGGTGGATGTTCCAGTAACACTCTCTCTCCAAACCCTCTGCCTAGGGTGCCTTGTTGCACATCAGTACGGTGAAATAATTCAGGATGAATTATTCTTTCCACTCATTCTATTTTCATCATTCCTGAAATCTTCATCACCTCCACATCAGCTATGGTTGTATGTTTCACTACTTCCCCTCTCAGCACAGACTCCTCAAATGTTACCACTTCCTATTCTAAAACACCCCAGAATCTACCTTTCTCTTCAATTATTACTTAAAAAATCCCTGTCTTTATTCAGGTTTTCTCTTGCTTCTCACAAATTCCTCTTCTCAATCTCCAGTCACTTCAATACCGGCCCCTGCCCTCCCTGCAGCCAACGATTTTGCTGTCACAGAGAAGACTGCAGCCAGATTGTACAGCTGTCCCCTGTCCTCTCTTAGCACCACCACCCACTTTATCTTCTAGGATCAGACCAGAACTATGTCCAGCAGGGCATCCCAGAAGTGTCAATCACAAATAGCAGTTTTAGGCAAAAGCATAAGAACAGAGCAACTGTGCAGTGATACTTTCCCCACGTGTTTTCCAGGCCCCAGTGATGCGCAGCCCTGGGACTTTGTTGGTCAGGGTAGCGTCTTTATATTTACTCCTTCCACACATTTACTGAGATCCTCTTTGAACTCTTGTAAATCTTTGTTGTTCTCAACTCCTGTGGCAGAAAGGTTTAGGGAGATGCTTGAACAATCAGTGTTACTTCTTGCTTTCTGTCAGGACACACTAAAAGCTACTTTTGAAATTATTATCCCTCTCTTTTGCTGTTTCATTTTATCTTTACTTTCCTTTTAACTTCTACTGTTTCCTGTATCAAATATGAATGTCTCTGTTTCCAGACCTTTTACTGCTGTACTGTCCCTTGCAAGTTCATTTTTATTTTTCTTTTCCCTCTCAGAGGTGTTCTGCCAGACTAACAGCAAACCATTTTGCTAGACTCAGACAGAAGGGTTCAGGCACCTTAGAGTGGGGCTATGGGCAGGGAGCAGATGAGCCTGAATGAACTAGAGGGGAAAGGGGAGGGGATTTGCTCTTTGAGCTGAGGATGGGAAACGTGGCTGCTGGAAGGAAGAACACACATAGCGGTTTTGGGTCTTCCTGGAGGGTTTTTTAAACAGTCTGTCTGTGGCCAGATTTTAACATCTGGTTGATCAAACAGTCCCTGCAGAGTCCTGTTCCTCTTCCTCCCGTTGTCTGTATTTCTCTCAGAATACTCATACTGCTGTCTTGTTTCTCTCTGGCCTCACACTTTTGTTCAGTGCTGTAATATGGAAAAAGCAAGACTTAAATGCCTAGTATAATTTTTATTTCTTTTCCTAAAGAAGAGGACAGGACAAGTCTTTCCACCTATGATTTGAACACTACAAGAAACATGCTTATTCCAGACCCAGTACTTACCTCACCCATTACCCTCGGCTTGGAGGGATTTTGTTTTCAAAGATGCCATGTGTTGCACTTGTGTGATCCTGGAAATCAAATAGATAGACTGCAGATTCACAAGTACTTCTTTAACCTTTATTCCCAATCCACGCTAGTTTATGGCAGTGTTAATGATTTACCACGTTTTCCCTCTGGCAGACAGTATTTACTAGTAGTAGGGAAGAAGGGAAGAAGTCAGGCATGCTGGACAAGATCACGTTGTAGGAAGACATGTATAAGGAAATGAGATTTCAGTGTCCTGTAAGACACTAAAAATTTCCTCACTGGGAACCAGTAAGCTTGAGAAAGACCAGACCAAATAAAGACTTTTAAAATAATTAAGGTCTTACCTAGTCCTTTTTTTTCAAAATACTTTACATGTTTCTTCATTTTTTTCCTGCATTTTTGATCAGAAGAAGGAATGTATGTTGGTTCTTACTGTGGTATTGTGCAATCCATGATCTCTGACCTTGAAACTATAGACTTTGTCTAGCATTTTTTGTAATATGATGATTATCAAAAGAAGGATAGCTATGTTATGGAAGTGCACTGCTCTTGGCACTGCTACAAATATTGTTAGAGGACAGCATGAAGAGAAAATAGCAGGAGCCTTAGGGCTGTGAAGGAAACTGCGGCTCAATATTCAGGTCCTTTTGCAAATTTTATTGTGCAGCATCTGCAATACTCAGTAGATCTAATTTCCAGAACAAGACAGACACGATATTCCTTGACCCCAAGAACACACACCCAGAAGATGGGCTCTCCTCTGTCTCTGACTCTTCAGTCTATGAAAGCCAAATCCAGGCATGATCAGTAGGATGTATTTTCCTAGTCACTGCTTTGTTATTTCCTTATCAATAAACTGCAAAGCATGAAGAGCAAGACTGTGTCACATCATATAGCAACGAATACAAAAAGTGAAGCCTTTTTTACCATGTTTTGTAACAAAAATGTGGAGTATTCAGAGACCTGGAGAGGGAAGCAAACACTCAGACATACCGATCGGGTTCTCCGGGAGAGGCACCACTGTTTTTTGTCTCATCAGTACCAGTTGCTCATGGGAATTCAATCCCACTGAAACCCAGAGTTCCTCCTCTCTGACATGAAATAACTCCAGGCTGAAGACATGCTACATAGTCATTGCTAATGAAGGACAACCTGTCCACTGTGGATTAGCCCATTCATGATTTCCTGCAGCTCTGCTTTCTTTGCTCGTGCTTTCTTTCAGTGCTGACATATCCCTGTTTGTCCCAATAGAAGAATCTCCAAAATCTAGGCAATGTACCTGATTATCATGCAAGAGGTTTGGCTTGAGGTGATAGGTTATGCTGGGATGCTTCTCTAGCATAGTGTCTCCTTTACACCAGGACCTTGTACCTCCTTTACACCTTTTTTTTTTTTTCAGACATAGCAATGACTTCCCCTCACACCCCTAACAGCAAAAAAAAAAAAAGAGAAAAATTATGAAGACCATGCTGGAAGTCACAGAAGTGTGGTCATAAGTTCCTCAAGAAAGTCCTGGCTCCCCCTATACCATGTACTTGCTCTCAAGTCTAATTGTAAGAGGAGGAAATACTGAGTACCATTTCTGTCTACTGATAGTCAAGGCACTCTTCTTCCACTGGATTAAAGAGCTAAACACTTCTTTTCATCTGGACTGAAGATCCTTCTCTGGGAATGCTCAGCAGCACTGACTTGTTAATAGGAGCAGATAATTTCAATGAGAAAGCTCTGTGTTTTTCTCTCTGTTTCACAAGTGTGCTGTACCTCTGAACCTTCCACACTCACTTCCTCCAATAACTGTGGGGCCCTGGTTTTGGTAAGAAAAATAGCATAGCCTGTGTTTTCAGTTTACACAGCTGCTAACTTGCAGGGACTGTCAAATATCTTATTTCTTTATACACTGTTTCATTTTTTTCTGCAGAGGATTTAATTCAGCTCATATTTCAGCAGATGGAGAGAACCACCAAGTTCATCCTGCACTCTGCACTGCAGGTGATTATTTTTAAAATACACATTCATGCTGTTTGTGGAGCAATGGATTCTCTCTTGCTTAGTGAGGCTTCTCGGCACTACAGGAATAAAAGAGCAAAATATGGAGTGGAGAGTTTGTTGTTAAAATCTAGTAACAGTCATTACTGAGCAGTTATTCTGCTGTAGGGCTGTTTGTCTCTTCTTTTCACGGTAGTTCAGGCGGTTGAACTCCTCCATGACCTGCAGCATGGTCTTTCCTTTGGTCTCTGGCATCATCAGGAAGACAAAGATAGCCATGGACAGACAGTATGTCAGGAAAATGATGAAACAGAAACTACCAAGACCTTCCTATAGGAAAAGAAAGAGACAAAATGTGTTCATATAAATTGATCTAGATTTCTTTCTCTTATGATATGGAGGTTTTGGGTTTGTATTTACTAAAATATTGGTCAGAGACTCAGCTGATGTAAATTATATTTGCTGCCACCTGGGGAATGGCACCAAGTGGCAAGATGAACTATTTCTCCTTTCCTGTTTTAAGGAGGAAATTTGTATGATCAGCAGAGACTGAATTTCATTGCTTGACAATTCACAAAGTGCTGAGCTTCTGTTACTCTTCCTTTCTGCTCCTTCCTTCTCAGTCAGTGTTAGACTGGGGAAGGTACGTAGTGTGTTCGCTCCGTCCCTCCTTGCACAGTCCAAAGCTGCAAAGGCTTTAGTTTCCCGCTACTTACTAGTGCTGGATGAGCTCTCTGGGAGTGCCCATTTTTCACATTAACCCCAAAGGGGATGCACGTACATGACAGGGGAGAGAAAGAAAGGAGCCCCTCATGACATTCAAATGACATCTGACAGTGTTGGTGCCCCTGTCACTGCTTCTCTGTTTACCAGTGTCACACTAACTGTGTGTAGAGTTAGCAGCATTTTGTGGTTTTGCTAGTCTTTCACTAGACATCTGGATAAAAAGAGGCGATCAGAACTGCAGTAAGTTTGGGCTCTGTCCTTTGCATGAAGGACTGAAAAAGGGAAGTATGCTCTGGGTTCAAGAAGGGTCTAAACTCTGAACTGAAACAAGACACCCTACTTTGCTTACCACAATGAAAGGGAACAAAAGTCCAAGGATGAAGAGTTGGATCCAGTTTGAAGCACCATTAAACACATAAGCAGCTGGTCTGTATGACTGAATAAATATTTCTGTGGGCAGGGGGCATAATACTCCAGCTGAAAAAAATGTTGGAGAAAAAAGGAACTTTAGAAATTTTGCAAGATGCTTCTGTAACTCACACTTCATACTGCTACATAAGTTAATGGTTTTAACTGACCTGGAAGTGTCTGAGATGCTGCTTGGATCTTCAGGAGGAAGGCATGTAGGAACGCAATATGAAATGAAGTTTTACATCCTACCACAGTACGGAGGGGAACATCTACCCCTGTGCTGAATCAGGAATAGGGATCCACACTAACTGTGGAACAGCTATGCCTGGGATGTCTCCTAAAGGCTGTAGTGAGGAAGGAATGAGTATATGAAACCATTCAAGTAGAAAATACCAACCTGGCCCAATGCCAAAGCTCATGATGAAAATAAAGATGAGTGCAACAGAGCAGTATGGTACCCAGGAAAAGGAATCCTATGGTAGGAAATGAAAAACAAATAAAATCAGAAATTAAAATTTTATTTATCCAGCTCCATTAGAAACATTCATCACTGCTAAGTATGTCAATGCTAAACATACATCTGTTTCCTCTACTTCCAGAAACTTCACAAAGAGATAGTCTTGGCAGTGATCATGGTCATATAAAACTATTGGCTTTAAACTGCACATACATGGATGGGAATGGGTCTCTGTTAGTATGATGGTTAGCCCCCAGAATACTTCTACTCCTACTAAAAAGTGATTTGCAGGGAGGGAAATATTAATAATATCTGTCATGCAATAAAATATGAAGACAAGACACAGCTGTAATGCGTAAGTGGGGTCTTACCTGTAGTGAAAGTGTGACTGTGAGGAGCCCTAAAGCCAAGGCCATAACAGTGTAGCTTCTCCACAGCAATGTCTTCCTCCCTGCACGCTCAATTAGGAAACCCTGCAACCAGGAGGACATGCTGTCAGCTCCGAAGGACAGCCCTCAAAGGCAGGCACTGGTGAACTGCTCCAGTAGCTGCCTTCACCAGGCAGGCAGGGGAACTCTGAAGGGTCGGGGACTCTCTGCAGGTGTCTGGGGGGACTGTGCAGGACCAGGAGCTGCAGGGACGAGCGGAAGGTGGGGAGGTGCAGGGCTGCAGGGAGCATTGCCTGGGCAGAGGAGGCCTGAGGTGGCACTCTGCAGGCAAAGGGTAGCCAGTGAGGATAACCAAGTGGAAATGCCTGCACTGCTAATTTCCATGAATCCTATGGCCATGAGCCCTACTAACAAGTGGACACGGGGACTGTCATCTGCCCTTCCTACAGCAGGGAACTGGGACTCCCAAGTCTGGCTCAGGCTGGGTTGTGAATTTGAGGGAAAGACTATTGTCCTCCCATAAACTGACTATAAATGCCCATGTTTGCAGTGTGTGTGGAGATGATTTTGTGTGATCAGTGCAAAGTACTATGGTTGATTTGTTGCAGAAGTTTGATTCCTGATGCTCCATTTACAATAGTTCTAAAGATTGAAATGAACCACACATTACAGCAGAATGAAATTCAGCTGAAGAGCCACTTACACACACAACTGTGGTGAGGATCTCGGTGATCCCAACTCCCAGGGAGACATAGTGGGTTTGAGCAGGGGAGATTCCAGCCTTTATAAAGACATTATATGCATAAAAGTAAACCTGGAAAGAATAGAAATGTGTGAAGGCTGTACCTACATGGTCATGTTTACACTAGCTTCTGTCTTTTTTCACAGAAAATAACTAATCAAGCCTTAATAAAAGAGAAAATGCTCTTGATTTCAGTAACTAGTCCTCAATGTTTGCATGAGGCTTGTTTGTGCAGAAGAGCTTTTATTAGCAGCTCTGTATTGAACATAGTAACAAATATAGTATTTTTCTTATTTTTTGCTTGTTTTTTGCACTGCGTTTGTCTAATGTTACAGGTTATAATTCTGACACCTTTCACATGTTTTAGTGTCTCATGTTCATTGGATGAGGAGCATACAGAAATGTAGACAGTACATATTAAGCAAATGGTTTAAATTATCTCTCTACATCATCTTTAAGCCTTTAGAGTGATTTTGATAGTCACTGGTTTTCCAGATATTAGTCTTTAAAGCATAAGAAATTCCACTATTAATATGCTCAATTTCTACTGGTCCTTCTTAGTATAGTTACTGCTGCACTAGTGGGGGCAGAAGGGGGTCTTATGAATCTTTAAGCCTTTCTGAATTTGCAAAATTAATCTGGATTTTGAAACTTTTATGCTTTTACTATGAGCTCATTTTATACAATAACTATTCCAATACTCAATACTATCTACTGAAACATAGTTAGAGATATTTCCAGAGAAAAGTTATCTTAGAGAGTATATATCAATAGCTGTCACATATAATACTGGGATGTTATAATTGTCTATAATCTGAGAAAGTGCAAAATTAAAGTATTTAGAAACAAACCAAATGACATAAGAGTATAGAAATGCACTGTCGGTGTACATTACAAAGCTGACTCTGTATTGAAACAGCTGAACAATTTTGGGCAGTGCATTATGGAGATCAGAGACCCAAAGGAGGTTATGCTGTTCTTTACTCATTCTTTATTTGAGATTTTATTTTATCCCCTTCCATTCTCTTATCATCCATAGAGATGGCTGGTAAACCACAGAGATGCCTTCAGATGACACTTGTTAAAATACAGTTCTTGACTTATCTCAGGTCCCAAACTTCCATGGGAAAATATTATAATAAGCAGTAACAACAGATTCTCTCCTCACAGCCACTGTTAGAGTCAGCATTTTACTACTTGTTGCAGAGCTTACTTTCTGCTAAGAAACTGTAAGCAATCTAGGAAGCAGAAGGAAGTAGCAGACATACCACATTGGCACCAATTAACTGCATGCATGAGGAGACAAGGATGAGAGTGATGAGCTGCCAACGGACAGCTTTGTCACGAAAAAGATCACAAACGCTCTTAGCCTTCTCACCACAGATGGCTTCTCGCTCTGCCATCATGTCATCTATGTCAGCTGTATGGTCACCATCTCCCCAGAGCTGCTTCACAGCTGGAAGGAGAGGAAGATAGAAGATGACTCCTGATCCAGGCTCACCAGCACAGACATGTTTTTAGAGGATTACTTCCTTTTTTGCAGAGTGTCTTATTTGAGCTTCAGGCTCTTTGCTTATGTGAAGTTCCTAGAGATCTGGCTTCAAGTTACACACAGATCTGGTTCATTGCTATCTATTTTTGCCCATAAATCTTAATCATGACCCCACCTTTGGCCAATAGCTGCTTACAGCGTTTTAATGTAAATCACAACGAAATTCTTACAATCCTTCCCCAAATACCCTCCTGCTAAAGGTGCAGTTCTAGTGCACACACCAAAACACAGACAAGGAAAAATGTCTCCTACATTAAAAAATAAGCCTACATCCAAAGAGTTCTCTCTTTTGATAGATAAAAACCCACAATGGCTGTTTCTCTCTTTATGTTAGTAGTTGCTGTTAGAGTTACTGAGGAACTGGAATGCTTACAGATACAGCATGACAGTAAAGAGCATCTCTTTCTTACACAAAACCAGAATGTACTGTATCCACACCCTGACTGTTCAGGGCAGAATATGTATTGATGGAAATACAAGCTCTGTGTGATCATGTCCCTCGGAGGATCCTGGCAGACAACAGGGGAAATACTAGTGCCAAGAGAGCACTGATATCAAAACAGAAGAGGCTGTCTTTCATTAAAGCTGAAGGTGGTTTCAGAGCCAGAAGACCAAGAGTCTTTTTTCCCAACTGTACCTCTCTTTTAGGCTCATGTGGGGCATTACCGTGTTTTCCACTTTTTGCTAAAATAAATGCTTTGTGGCCCATTTCCTCACCTTTGATGCACCCCTCCTTGTCCTTTTTGTCAATTAGCAGGTAGCGGGGAGAGTCTGGGAAGAAGGGGAGGGTGAGAAGCTGAATGAGGGCAGGAAGTGCGTTGGCTGCCATGAGAATAGGCCAGAGAGCATCTACTCCGAGAACTTCTCTGAAACAAAAGCAGCAGAGTGAGAGGAGCTGAGCAACCATGTGTGCCATCCATGTGATCACACGCAGGCACAGGGTGGTCCCTTGACACAGCTGCGTGTGTCCGGGCAGCTCTCACCCAGCAGTCTCCAGCATTTCTCAGCCCAGAAAAATGAAAACATCAATGGGAGGTGGAAGGGGAGAGCTGAGTGCTGTTGCCTCCAGCACATGAATTACACCATGTTGCCACTTGTTGCTCCATGGTGAGTGCAGCAAGGCTAACTGCATCCTCCTACTACAGCTGAGGGCCCACAAGGACAGTGTCCTGGCACAGGCACTGAAAAGAGAACCTGCGGTGGCTGATCCCTCTGCTTCTGATCCAAAGTGTCTCAAGTTACAATTCAGACAGGCTCCACAGGTTATCAGCCTGGTACTGACTGCCCCAAAAAGCAGCTTCTGGGTTTTCTGCAGCTTTGAGAATACTGTGGCCAGAATGATGCGTGCCCTGGGAAAGGACAGACCATCTTTGGCACAGGACAGGCAGAAGGAGTCTGTTCTGGGGGGAATGTATCCACCACAGATTTCTGGTTTTGTGTGTGTGTGTGTGTGTGTGTTCAATGAATGGGTGTGCCAGTTTGTGTGTATTTTCAAGAAAGTTTGGATGGATCTGATATTCCCTAGTCCTTCTTAAAAAAATAAAAAGTAAAGGTCAGTTCTTACAAAAGATGGATTTCTTTCAAATCCACTGAAATCTGTTAAAGGTTTTTATGATCTGTATTTTGGTCTATCTTTGCTAGGAAGCAACATCATCCTTCAGGATTAAATATTTTGTACGATTTCTGTTTCTCATTCACTTAAGTCAGGAATTTGGGTTGAGCTAATTCAGTCTGTCTGCTTAAACTATCCTGAAAGCATGTCTAAAAATAGCTGTTGACTTACCTATCCATAGGCTTGCACTGACATATGCATATATTTTAATAACAGAATAAATTAAATAGGTCTCCGACCCCCTTACCTGAGACCCAGAGCAAATCCTACAAACTTTCCAACGGCAGTGGCAGTAGAAGCTGTTATGGCAATCAGCCCACGGAGCTTCTGTGGGGCACATTCCCCAGCATACATGAGATGGATATTCAGACCTAAGCCTGCAGTGACAAATGACTGTTAGGGCAATTCAAACTCTAATAGATCTGGTGTTTTGGAGGGGACCATTATGTGCAAAGTATATAGTTAGGCTCTGAGATACCTTTTCAACTGTGCTGAGTATGTGTCTGCCTGACATGAAGCATGTTCCCAGTACCATGGCCTTATGTCTTTGCTAAACATTTCACTAAGCAAGCATGTTCCCCTGGGAAATCTGTTCTTCAGCTTGCTGACCTTTTCTTGCAATGTTTCCTACAGCCACCTGTACAGGGTAGCTGTTGCTCCCTTTAATCTCGGATTATCTATTTCAGTGTCTACTCTGGATGCTATGTGCCTTATTTTGCACTTGAAACCAGTGAGTTCACAAATGTTATATATTCCATTTCTTCAGTGGATTAATTAATATTTATCCTCTCTTAAATTTTTTTGCTGGTTAGCATTATTTTTATCCAAATGCTCAAGGATTGAAAATACTGACAGAACATAACCTCCTGAGGCATCTGGAAATTAGAATTTCCCAGCCTGAAAACGATTCCTTTGTCTCCAATTTAAAAGGCAGTATCAGCCACAACAAACAACAACAGAAACAACAGATGTCAGCTTTCTAGCGAGTGAGCATGCTCCCCTGAAATGTTGCATGTTTGAGCTTTTTCACAAGTTGGCAGTATTTTTTATATGTATGGAATGTAAAGATATAAGAGTGAGAAAGGGAGATGTCACTCATGATTAATTTAATGATATTTTTGTTTTCTTATTTAGTTAAAAATGCATTCAGCTATGAAGCACTCTGTAGAGTTTAGTAAAATCTGTGACCTGTATACTCAGTCTGGTAAATCCTTGTGACCTTCAGTCACTGCTCTCCCAACTATTTAATACCGTAATTAGGAATGCTAATTTACCTCCACACACTCCAGAAAACAATCTGCCAGCGATGACCATCTCAAAGGATCCACACAGCCGGCTGAATCCCATCAGAGCTGCACTCAGCAGAGCGGGGATATTGGCAAACAGCATGGCCTTCTTCCTGGAATTAATTCAAATTAATGTGAGCCTAAATATTGTACATGTGTCATTCACAGCCTGGCAGAACTGGAATGAATTGTACTATGGTTAAAGACTCTGTGATAGCTTCTGAGATCAGCTGCAGTGAATTAATTGGGAAATGGGAATGGTAAAACTTTGTCATAAGCTAGTTGAAGCTTTTGATGCCACTAGTGGAACCAATATCTACACTGAAGAACAAGCTTTGTGAGTGGTTGTCTGTGAAATTCACTTTAAAATGCATGGCAATCCTCATGTGATTTCTCTGGACTGGATATGCTTTGTAATTTATAAGGAAAAGGGTATGATTTTCTTTGTGATCCTTGGCAGATATTGCCATTCCGTTTCTTCCCTGAACTGATCCTTCATCTGAAGCAGCTCTGGGCTGCTCACAGTGCTGCTTCACAAGCACTGTTTCTCCCAATACACAGTCACTTATTTTTGCAGTTGTGGGTGTAAACAGAAAGACTAATGTAATCATTATTCCTTACCTTCCAAATTTAACGGACAAATATCCTGCAGACAAGGACCCCAGAAGCCCACCGATGCTGTAAATGGACACAACAAAGGACCACATCAAAGTAATCATTTCTTCCCTGGGAGAAGAGCCATATCTCTTTAGCCAGGTCTCGTGGATGAAACTCTTGATGAACTTTAAAAGAAAACCAGAAACCAATGGACTCAGTCAACATGATTTTGCATAATTGCACCTCTTTTTTACTTCTTGCCTACTTATCTGTCTTTTTGATACATTTGTATCAACACCTTGGTTGAAATCTTAGCCCCAGTGAAATCAAAAGGAATTTTACCACTAACACCCCTGGAGTTAATGTTTTAGCGACAAGGTGCAATGAATAAATCAATGAATAAATATATCAATATTAAATATCAACCATGAGTGCCACTGAGTGGCAGACTGGTCTTCTGTTCACGTGCCAAAATCTGATTGTTTTGCTACCCGATCTCCCCCACCATTTCCACTTGTCTGTCTGTCTCTCTAGTCCACCTGCTGCATCCTGTCTGATGCCTTGGGTGAAATCCCAGTTTGACTTTGACCAAATTCAGTGAGATCAGGGTTTGTCCCTTGGTGTGGCCTATTGTGGGATCTCTCTGACCTCCTGTTCATAATCTCCATAGCACCCTCATTCTTGATGAGGGTTCCCAGTGTGATAATAGCATGAGCTCAATGTCCTTGGCAACATTCAGGATGACAAACACCTCCCTCAATTTTCCTTTTCCAGCTGCAGGTCTCAGTGATGACCTTGACTCTACAGCTACAGCCCTTCCCTGTCCTATTTCTCCTTACAATCACTTAGATCTAGTGTGAGTGGCCAAGCATGAGGTACAAAGGACACCCTGAGTATTAGAAAGAAGAGAATGTCCTGTGTGCCGTCCAACTCAATAATGGGAAAATGTATGATTTTATACGTATTGCTCATCCTCCCCTTTCCCATTTCTGTCACACCAGACAGAAGTCAAAACCCCAGGAAACACAAGAGCAATAGCAGCTAATCTTAGAACCAAGAAACCACAGTAAATCTGGTTTTGAGAGCAGAAGTGAAAAAGTTAGTGATTGCACATAGAGGCAGGAGTGCATGAGAACACTGAAATTCATGCAGGTAGCTCAATTTTTTGAGGTGTCCATGCTTACCTCAGCAGGAGAATTGATAATGGAGACCTGCAACCCATACTGGAAAGCTCCACCAATGCCCAGGACAAAAGCCAGGAGGAAGAGATTGTAGCTCATTTTCTGGCAGGAAATAAAAACAGCAAAACAATTCTGGTGTAACTATTTAGACGTGCCACCAACTGTCCTGTTTTACCTCCAGGAACAGCTTGAGCAATGCCATGCACCTGCCTCCTCTGAGACCAAGGAGCCAGTGCAGGCTGCAATAAAAGACCACAGCTACTAAAGCACAGGACAGTGAAAAAATTGAGGAGAGACAAAGCTCGTAGCTGTCTCCCAGATCCCAGTTACACACTTCAGTGCTTCTGCTTTCAGATTTGGCTGTCTTAATCTGCACTAACATAGGGTAACTAGTTGCAGGACCATGGTGCAATGTGCAAGCATTATGTACATGATTTCCATCTATTTGTCCTTCTTCCTCCTCCTCCTCCTTTCCCACTTGTTAGCTCACCTAAATGAATATTCTGCTCACTGAATTCACTGAGGCTAGATAAACATTTGGGGATTGAAAGGCATTCCTGGTTTCATAGTTTATCCACCCTTTCTTAGAACTATATCTGATAGGAGTCTTAAAAATACCCCCACAATATGGTGCTGCAATACATGCATACCCCAACCCTCCTACTCCCACTGCTCTCTGTTACTCAGTGTATGAGTGATATTCTGTCCAGCAATGATGGCATGATGCTGCACTTCCATCTCTAGAACAGATCATATTCAAAGGCAATGCTGAACAATGACTGCTAAACATCTACAAGCTGATTTCTAATCAGATGAATGCCATTGCTTGAATGGACATCAAATGTATCCATGTTCAACATCATTGGCCTCAAAGGAGTCAGCTCTGAATAAATCTGGTATTTGGTACATTCCTATGTTAAATGACAACTATCTCCTGTTTGCCAAAGCACTAGGAAGAAATGAGATTCACAGTTTCTACTACTAGACATCCCTACTATCCTTTGTTCTACAAAAAAATTACACACATCAACATGAAGCTCCCCATCAGCAAGAAAATCAGTTAGATCTATTCTAAGTGCAAATTTTATATTGCACTTGCTGCAAACTTCTTAGTCTCATCCCCATTCTGTACTATAACACCACTGCTTGATTTTTCTGTTGTACCTCTTCGATGACTTTTCCAGTCCGACAAATTCAGGAGATTTCTTTAACTTAATAATCATCATAAAATTCTTTTAAAAAACATTTTTCTTTTGTCTTTTCTGGGTATCTGTTCTTATACTTCCTTAACTGGAAAGGTTTGGTTTCCATCTTTTAGTGTTTACATCTTTCAGGTATTTTGTTGTTCGTAAGTCTTCTATTGTGCAGGACTTCTTCAGTCTTCCAGCTCTCCACCATCTATCAAATTATGTAGGGGTTTTTTATTGCTGTGCTCTGAACTCCTTTGGTTTGTCTTCCCCTGTCATGTATCAGACATTAAATATAAATGTGCTCTTAAATTCAGTTTTCTTTGCTTTTAAAAAATAATTCCTTTCAAGATATTTGATATCTTTCAGATATGACCTCATACTATTATTTTAACCACATCTAATTCAGATTTACTTTTCTTTCTGTACTTAATTTATGCAACAGGTCTTTTAGAATAGCAGAAATGAAAAAAATATGCACTGCAAAATTCTATTTGGGGGAAAAAAAAAGATAAACATATACCGACTTGCATGCAAAGGTAGTCATCTCCACTTGCAGACTAGGTTTTTCCTGACGCTTTCTTTGGTTACTTTGGAAAAAGTCACTCTATATATAGAGAAAGAGGAGTCTGAGATAATATTTTGACACGTCATTTCATTCTTTCTCAGTGTTTACACTCCCTTTGGTTTGTCATTATGTTGGTTACTGATGAAACTCCAGATAATTTTGGCAAGCTGTGTGTTCATGCTGGTTCACTAGGGACAAGAAGCTCCAGCAGCAGCTGACAGACAGTATGAGCTGCAGATGAGTAAAGGACAATAAGAAAGGCACTGATGGAAGCCAAAGTCCAGGGACTGGTGCAAACTAGAGTGGACTGGCTTGGACTCCTCAAGTCATAGGTTGGGTAATCAGTTAACACATTCAAAGGCAAAGTTCCTGACTGCTACTCTGAGCCTCAGTCCAGCAAAGCCTTCTGAAGCCTGACTTGACCAAGCCTGACTAAGCCTATGCATTCTTGATGGGATCAGCTGACACTTTAATAGTAATGGTCACTGCCTGAAAGTTCAAGTCTGTGTCCCTATGGTAGATGCTAGGAAAGTTGAATGTCAGTTTTAAATCCCGACTGTAAAATAAATAAATTACATCTTTACTTTTATCCATAATTCTCAAAGGGTCTCTTTGAGCAGTCATGAAGACTGTTCTGTTAAAAGGCTTTTACAAGCTATTCAAACAGCTTAGGGGGAAATTCCTTCTGGTGAGTGGCTGCACCTGGCAGTTCCCCAGGCTAGGATGCTTGGTCTCTGGTGTCTGGAAGAATCCCAGCCCCAGCTGGGTTGGAGGTGAGAGGTGGCTCGTGCAGAGGAGCACTGTCTTGAGGACAGCAGCAGTAGCTATTTTTCTCTGGTGATGATGGTTATTAATCAATCCAACAGTGCATGGTGATTTGATTTGTAAACAATAATATGAATTATAAGTCTCTGAGGATCACTTTTCAAGATGTATTTTTGCCTAACACTTCACGTGATAAGAAAATTGACCTAAGCAAGTGTAATATATTTTTTTTTCAGTTGAAGGTGTTTTAATTCAGTAACAATTTACCAACTTGTTAAATGCTTCAATTAAAATATAACTAATTAGACCAATTAAAATGTAACTACTGTTTGTCTTTGCTTAATCAGTCTAAAGACACCTGATTTCAGTCCATAGTCAGAAAAAATGCTGGAAGTTGGAATTAGTGTTCTCTGACACATGTGCTCACAGGACTGTCTCAGGAAGTCAAGTAAATGTGGATCATTTCTGAACAGGCATGTATCATGCTGTCAGGTGCAGACGGCCTCCATCCTTCCAGGGCTCTGGGGAAAGGCACAATACTGACTCATGGGAATAGCCACAGAGGTGGCCAAGGTGAGGAGCTCTGGACATTGGAGGACTGCTACCAGTTTTAACCGATTCTTCTCTAACCTGTACGTCCCAGTGTGCCAGGCCTCTCCCTCTGCCTAGGCAGCCTCTTCAGTCCATCCCCTGCTGCCTAGCCTGCATCTTCTCTACTGCCTTGCCTTCTTTGCTTCACTTCTGTCTCCCATCCTTTCTTAGATCCTCACCAAAGGAATGACAGAATATTTTGATACCATCATGATGCTACCAGCACTTTTTCTTCGACTGTGTGTTTTGTTCTTTCCATCTGCCCCTCACTGCACTCTCCAAACTGTAGAAATGAAAAGTATCTCTGCAGTTCCCAGCTCCATGGCGTCCTGCTCAATTGTCTTGTCTCACAATGCTGACTGTTTAAAAATCTCAGCATTGTCCCAGAGCAGAGATATATGCTCTTGCCCATGTCTGTATATGAATGACTTCTGAAATAGCAGCAACCACAAATGAACAAAAGTTTAGATTTATTTTTCCTATTTTATAAACCATAGGTAGTGAAAGATAGTTGTTGCACAGACTCCTCTTCTGAGAAATAGATATGCTGCTCCACTCATGCCCAGCATGACAGTAATACATTCCAGAAAACTTTACAGTCTTGTCATTCAAAAATGCCATATTTGTGAAAAAATATAGTTTAAAAATATACTGAAACTTTAACCGCTTATCTTTAAAATGTCTTTGTTCTGATTTGCTGCAACCATTAGCAGTGCTGTGACTTTCATTCAAGGCCAAAAGAAAAGAGATGGCTTGATTGTGATTTTGAGAAGAAACTGGAAGAAACTTCACCAGTCAACCCAGTGCCTTTGAAAGGCAATATTAAATGAGTGTTGCCTTGTTCTGTACCAGGTTAGCTAAAAGGAATCAGTATCACATCTGGGTCTTTTCCAATATGCTCTGTGGAGACAAGAACATGCTGCAGACAATGTTCTACTGTGATCTAAATCTCCACATGCAAAATAAGCTCCTGCCGTAACAGCTCCTCACCACACTCTAACCTCAGCAGAGTGCAGGTGTAAAACCCTACAAGATGCACCTGCAGTGTCCATGACAGCAGTGCAAATTGGACTAGAGAATTACTTGGAAGACAACAAACAAGCCATGAAGAAAACCTGTCCCAAAACAATGCCCAAAAGTCACTTGTATAATAAGCCACTTAGCAAGTACTAGAAGCTTTCTTCCTAATCTATCACATTTTTATAGCTGAAAATAATTAACTGGTCACTACTGCTCAACAAGTAGGGATCTTTTTGAAATCACTTAATAACAGAAACAACGGGAGCACCAAGACAAGGTACTGAGAATTTCATCTGGTGGCTGAAAACAGAACTTAATCGTATTAATTTCTGTGTTAGAGAGCCTAGATTCAGGGGCAAGGAAAGTCAGGCTTCTGAGATGGAAGTTACTGTTTGGGTGGAGGAGAAATATCGAAAAAAATCAGAAGAAATTTGCTAAAGCATTGCATGGTGTTGTTTGATCATACAAGGTATCATTCTGTCACACTCTAATATGGATCCTAAAATATGTATGTGTTAGCACTAAAATCTGAAAACAGATTATTAAATTTTTGTTGGGAATAATCAGTTCAAGTATCTTTTCAAGGTGAACCTAAGAATCTAAGAACAATCTGTTGTCCCTAACCCTACTTCTCTCTTTTTGTCTCTGCAAGAGAGCATAGTCACTGCTGAATTTCCCCCAGATACCATCTCTTCTTCTGCTACAACATGGTGGATTTGATCTCTTCAGGGCCTTTATAAAAAACTGCATGGGTCTGAGCTTTGAAGTTTTGTTTCTTGAACTCCTCTGCGATTTCCAGGAAGGACTTTCCCTTTGTCTCAGGAAGGAAAAACCCAACGTAGAGAGCAGTGCAGACGCAGACCACAAGGAATGGAACATAGCAGAAATGTGCTAGACTTTTCTGAGGAGAAGGAAAGAAGAAGACAGTGTTGGTGACATTCTGTATGATGACAAATAGGACACTAATCCCTGTTCCTGAATGGACTAACTTCACCCAGGGAGTATTTCCTGTGGTGAAGGCCTCACATGCCTTGATGCAACAGCTCCCCAGCATAGTTTGGGAGATTTGATACAGCAAGACAAGTATCTTAAAATGTCTTCTTCTGTCTCTCTATTTGTACAGAATGGGAACCCATAGAAAATAAGACAGGATTGGATACTGTGGAGTTCTGCTCCTTTTTGCTTCAGGAATCACCATAGGGAATGGTGCCAGGGTCTGGCCAAGGGCAATTACATCACATGTCTAGTCCCAGCTGTTCTCAGCTTAGGACAGAGGAGGAATATTGGTCATCCATGTCCCAAATTAATCTGCTTCCAGCCTCACATCAGAAATCACTGTAGAGAACATGGAAGAAGTTTGGTTTAGAGGACTTCTGACCACATTCCTCATAAAGATACTTTTCATGGCAATGCTATCCTGCTGTGTGTCTGCACCTTGGGACATTCCAGGCCCTGCCTCTTTTCCTGGTCACTATCAGAGCCTCTTGTACAAAACAGTAAAGAGCTGCAGGTGATTGCTTTGCCTTGGGAACCCACCACAATGAATGGAAAGGCTGTTCCGACCAGAAATAGGTTGAACCAGAGCAGAGAGCCACAGATCATGTAAGCAGCTGGCCGGGACATTTGATCAAAAACCTCTGTGGGCAGAACTCCTGTTACACCAGCTGGAAAAAGAAATTACAAGAAAGTTAATAATACTGTTGACATTATATTAAAAACAAGAGAACACATACTAACAAGCAAACCCAACATGAAGTATATGAGAACAGTAAATTATTATTCAGTAAATTATTCTCACTAGTCAGCAATGCCAGAACTAGTGGTAATAGGGATTAACGGTAGTGGGGAAGTTTTAGGTTAAATATTAAGGACTGGCTAATTATTCAAACTCTCTCATGTTAGAATGAACTACCAGGAAAGGTTTTGTAATCCACATTATTCTCACCAGGACTCATCTGTGAGAATGGCTTATAATTAATTCAACCCTATGGCACTGTAGGGACTTGGGCAAGAAATTACTGCCAACTCAGATGATGTGTGACACTGGCATTTAGTTCTCTTCTTACCTGCCTTCCTTCAAAATCACATCAGCAAACAGAGCCTCACATCTACTCACACACCACACAAACATCTGTACACACACAGCCTGTGTACTGACCCCACAAACACAGAAACTAATGGATTCTGCCAGGAAAATGCATGTTAGTAGGCTAACAAATAGATGTAGAAAACGTGCTTCCAGGTATCTGCAAGTAAATAACCAGATGATGTAGCTGTCAATCTCTAAGGTCGAAGTGAAACATTAGAAATGCTGGTCTACAGCCCTAATGGATTGGGCAGTAAATCAAAACCTTGTTGTCCATTTAAGACAAGAATCACCTCCAAGTACCATCACAAGATGTCTGTAAGGAGAAACAACACAGAGAACGGCACAGACTGTCCCTGCACAACACTGAATTACCAGAGGCATGCAAGACCCTGTGAAACAGCCGAAAACTGCTGGCAGAAATTGCCTCATTCCTTTGAGTGTGCTGTGGCTACAGAGGGTCTGAAAATTTTCATAAGCTGCTTGCACACATCTCCAAGCCTCTGCAGTACCCAAAAGTTTCAGTGTAAACACTGAGGGAACTGACCTGGTCCGATTCCAAAGCTCAGGATATAGGCGAAAATGCAGGCCATGCTGAGATAAGGCATCCAGCTAATCTGAGCCTACAGCCACAGAGACCAATGGAAAACCATGAGGGCACTTACACTTATTTGCCACTAATAAACACCCCAGTCAATAAAAGGCAAAACCCAACTCCATCCCACTTAAATAGTCAAGTAAAGTTTGTTACCTGCTGGCTCAAAGCAACCATGAAGACAATGGCCCATCCTGCCATGAAGATATATCCCCCCAGGAGCAGTGGCCTCCGACCAGCATAGTCTATAATCATGTTCTGCACAAAGTAACACAGTGAAATAAAGCAAGATTATTTAACTTGTATTTATATTTCCTGCCTGCTTCCTCTTCCCATTTCAATACTCTGTGCCTAGATTGCTCTACAACTACTTTACAGATGTTGTCAACTTCTTAGCAAAAAAAAGTCAAGAGAAAGAGTCTGCTGGCAGGAGTCAGGCAAGAAGAACGTTCAGGGGAGACAAGAATGTCCTGGCTGCAGCCTAATCTCCGCCACTATCCATACTGACACAAAGCAAGAGAGTTACACTTTTTAGAGATTTCAGACAGTGGTGATGATGCAGTGTCTGACAAAATATTTCTACATGAACCTGTCTGGACATGCGTGCTGAGAGATTGCCTGGCTGCCATGCATGAAGGGCTTCCTTGGCATGAAAAGCAATGAAAATCCCAAATTTGTAATTAACAAACTCCTCACTGTCAACAGCCTGCATGTCAGCAGAGTGCACCAAGAGTCTCACACAAGTGACAGATGTAATCAGTTCACAGCTCCCCGTGCCGATTATAACATATGGGATTTTGTCCTGAGGAATTCCAGCCTCTTGGAACACATACGCTGCATAAAAATACATCTGGGGAGAGAAGAGAGGAGAAAGCAGTAAGGGAGAACGTCTGAAAATACATCCTATTGTTTTTCCTGAAGGACCACACAGAGAAGGACTAATGTGTTGCCAAACAGGCTATTTTGACAGCGTCCCTCTGAATCTTGCCATAATGCACAGGCATACTTTAGGAACCAAGCATCTGAGGTTTGACGATCCCCACAGGCAGAGCAGACCACTATTCATTCTCCTGCAGCAGGAATGTTAAACCCAAGAGCTTGCACCCATGTCTCATGATGCATTGCTGATTGCTGCGGTTGCCAGCCTGCTTACCGAATCGTTCCCGCAGAGCTGCATGGCACTGCTCAGTACAACAATACTCATCAGCTGACACCTCAAAGCTGGATTTTGGAAGAGCTCCCAAGGGTTCTTCGCTCTCTGACCTTTAACAGCCGCCTGTTCAGCTAGCATCTCTTCCAGCTCTACACTCAGGTCACTGTTGCCTCTGAGCTTCTGCAGGGCTGTAAGGACAAGGGAACCTCTTATCCCCTGAACTTTGCCTTCAGCTTTCCTGCTCTGCAGGGTGAAGGATCAAGCAGCAAGTGATGGCTGCAGAAAGCTATAGGACAGAGTCTGTGATCATGGTGTTACCTTCACAGAGATGGCCAGTTGTGGTGCAGCCACTGGAAGAATTTGGGGGAAAGAGTCCAAATCTCTCCCCATTGTTTGACAAGGTAATATTTCCGACCAGTGCCATTTCAGCAGCCATGTTTCTAACTCAGATCTCAAGTGACTTCCCTGGTCAATTGAGGCAATTAAAATGTTCTTGGCGCACAGCACATATTTCCTGGAAACTAATTCCAGCTGCTCTGTATCTTAGGATTTGTATGCTACAAACCTAAGCAAATCCCTTAATATGAATTGGCTTCAGATTTGGTCATGAGGTCTTCAACCATTCATTTATTATGCTTCACAGTTACAAAACATATTCGCCATTGTGAACACAAGTCCTATCTTTTGACCCTACTACCATTGTAGCAAAGAAGTCTTTTGTAGGAAGATGCCTTCCAATTGCCTCAATAGATCAAAAATATTTAAGATTACAGAATGTTGTTTAGTTTGGAAGGAGAAAGTGATCATATCTGGAACTTGATATGACACTTCCTACATGTAAATGTTGTGTCACCATTCTCAAAATATTTGGGCTCAAGTCTGTGCACAAATGCAGGATGCAAAAAACCCTACATTCATCTGCGTCCAGAGTTACTGAGGTTGTTCACACAAATACATACCCAACCACCATCTGGGCACTGTTTAAGGGTGCAGCAGCTAATGCAATTACAAACATTGATGGCACGACATATTTTGTACAGACCAAATGTGGTCCTCTTGTTTAGAAAAACATTATCCATGGCAGCAGTGACATAGCCATGGTATTAGGCTTTTAAAGCTTTTATGTTCATCTAGGGAGGCTGGCAGAGTCACCAAAAAGAGTATATGTGTTGGAATTAAATCTACATTTCAATCTGCTTTGGACTGAACACACTGGACTGTACATTATGAATATCCAATCAACCTTCCCACTGGTTATCTGCCCAGTCAGTAGATCTCACATGTTCAGCGAGAGGCTAACGGTCACCCTAAACTCACCAGATACACAGGATTCTTTATCTCCACGGTCAATCAAGAGGTATCTGGGACTTTCAGGGAACCAAGGCAGAGCCGTGAGCTGGATCAGGGCAGGAACCACATTGCTAGCTAAAAGGAATGGCCAGCTCTCCTCCCCACCTAGTAGCTCTCTAGAGAAAAAAAAACCAAACACATAATTTGCACAGTATATTTTACTACCTGGAAAGAGCCCAGCATCCTCTGCTGAATGTGGGCACTGGAAAAGAAAGAAAAGAGAGAGGTAGTAAAGGAAAAAAAGAAAAGAAAAAGGGAGAAGAAAGATTTAATAAGTATAAAAGTATAAACTGGGCTTCTTGCTCTACATTACCTGAGTCCAACAACCTGCCCCAGCACCAACCCCAGGGCTGTAAATGATGCAGAGGTCAAGGCCACAGCTCCTCTGAGCTTCTTTGGGGCACTTTCTGCCAGATACATGGGCTGAATGTTCATGCTCACACCTGGGCAAAGCAGACAGATGCTGACGTTAGTTTGTAGACAGAGGAGACGGGGACAAATGCACTCAGCCATCTCTTGAGATCGCCAGCTGGCCATGTGATGACTGATCTACCAGTGCTTATTATTCACCTAAACCTTCAATTTCTTTCTTAATCATTGTATAAGCTACTAAACATACATTTCCATACTCATAAATAATAGTGGTTAATGAAACTGAAACCTGCCGGGGCCTCAGTCCTATGGTCTTTTCAGCACCAAATCCAAGGTTATAAGTGATGCTTCCCTCTAGTCTCCCATTTTGGGGGGAAGATCATATTTTAAGTCACTTGTATCAATCATTATTTCCTTGGATGAACTTCTAGAAAAGCTTTAATGTTGATGCTAATGCTGGTGAGTGATAACATTCTTACAACCAGATAGGGATCGACTTTCAGCTCAGTTTCTCTCAGGGTTCCCTCCCTGTGTTCAGAGTGCACACAGATACTCACATATGTATTGCAGAAAAAAACCTGCCTGTGTATCCTTTAAAAATAAAGTCCTTAGAAGCAAAATCTAAAATCACTATATACAAATTCCTCATTCATATACATGTGTGTGGTCAGACTAGAAGATTAATTGCTTAATGTCTTGGATCACTCCTATTTAAATATCTTCTATTTCTAATTGATATTCCTTATTATGTTTCTCATGTTGCCATACCTGCATTCACACCAGTAAAAAATCTGCTGAGCATAATCATTTCAAAAGATTTTGCCATTCGGCTGAATCCTGACAAGACTGCGGCTATGATCACAAAGACATTGTTCAGCAGCAGGGACATCTTCCTTCAGAGAGAAAAGACACAGTTGTGAGCACATGTGTGTCAGGTTTAGTTATCAGATAAAACATTTCACCTGGCAGATCCAACCTGCCATGCCAGGAAGCTCAAGGTGGGCAGCTCATCTATACCACAGAACATCCTGGTTACCCAAAGCCCTACATGAGGTGCAGATGGCAGGTCAGCTTTTGGTCTCTTGTTATAAAAACAGGAATCAGCACTGACAGGTAATCTGCATGGCTGATACAATTAGTGTCATCTCCAACTACCAGCATGACCACAGGGTGTCCCTGCAGTGCTGGCTTTAGCCTTACTGAAGGCACCATGAGTTCCTCACCCAGGTTCATGGCTCTTACACTCAGTTTCCCATCTGAATGGAGAGGAATTCCCTCAGTAAGTTATGTATCTTTTGGTCTGAAAATGCTAATTTGTTGAAACAGGCATTTTTCATGCAATAGTATGATCCTTATGAAACTTTTGTAACAAGTGAGCCACTGGAGACAGTCCTCCAGCCCCACCCTAAACCATAATGGTGCCTGCTTCATCATATTAGAGAAGCAAAACAAAATGATGGCACATAGAGGAAAACTTTGGGGTCAAGAGAGAGGGAGGCAAAAAATCTAACTTCCCATTAGTTTATGTTAGTAACACTAACTGTTTTTTTCTGAAGAGAACTGAGGATAGAGTTGTGTATGAAAGACAGGTGAGGAGAGACACTTATTTTTCAGACTCAAGCACAGGGAAAAAAAAGCAACTGTGAAGATTTAGCAAACACCTCTTGAAATATTTCAGCCAAAAAGGTGGATACACCGCCTATGAGACATGAGGACCTGGGATGCAACAACTGTTCTTTGCAAGCACTCTCTTTTTCCAGTGTCACTCCTCTCAATTCCCTCAGTTCATTTTGAAGAAAAATCCTTGGTTTGTTCCATCAATATTTCCTATTTAAAAGGATGGCAGAAAACTGGGCACAAAAATTATGGTGCTTATGTAGTTGATTACTGTGACACAGGGCTGAGCTGAAATCCATGTAGCACTTCAGATGGGTCAGAATATGATGAGAAGGTAATGTGGAGAAAAAAAACTGTTCCCCATTGGGTTTTGAAACGTGAAATACTGCCTTATCAGGAAGTTTCTCTCTCCCACCTCGGAATGTTAATGTCAGACTGATCTGTGATAGAAAACATGTTTTCATTATTTGCAAGTACAGTGGGTATTGTGCTGTAGGACTCATAATTCCTCTTGCAAAGTTTAAATTAAAATCCAGCACCCTCTTACCTTCCTAACATGATGGCCATGGGACCAGCAACAACAGCCCCAATGAGTCCTCCCAAAGGGTACGCAGAGACAGTGAAAGACCACAGCAGCAGGATCACATTGCTCTCAAGGGGGACGCCTGTGCGCTCCAGCCAGGTTTCGTTCATGAATGTCTGGATGTACTGAGAGGGAAGGACAGTGCTGCATAACCATGACATAGAGGTGAAGAACACTGAGAAATGTAATGGTTTCCTGATTAATACATCTGTTTATGCTGTGTTCATGCCTCCAAACCTTTGGTTGAAAATGGCCTCCAGTTCTTAGATATGTTTTTAACAGAGAGTTAAGAGTGTAAAACTGTAGTTGTTGAAAAGTTGTACTTGGTTTGCATCTGTATGTAGATATCTTGGATAATTAAAAAATGTATTTTATAGGTCCAACTTTGAATTGAAGGGCAAAAGTCAATTTTAAAGGATGCAGGTTAGAAAATTTTAGAATTTGATTTGCTAAAGCAGTAGAAACAAGGCTTTTGAATGAATACTTGTGGCACTAAGTCCTGCTTAAGGGTGGTTCTTGACAACAAAGTCCTGTACCTCAGATGTGAATTATAGAGGGAACAACACATCCTTCCCTTCTCACCCTCAGTATTAGCAGAGTGCATATTTTCAGTGGCAGGCCACTGCTTATAGCCAGACTGAGGACACTAAGGAAGTGTCTGTCTCAGGAGGAGGCTCTCAGACTAGCAGTACTTACTGAAGTTGGAGCATTGATGATGGAGATGTTGTAACCATATTGGAAAGTGCCTCCAATCCCAGTGGCACATATTGTCAGGATCAGGATCTTGCTCTGAAGCTAAAGAAGATGGATAGAAAATGGATGGCTTCCTTACACACAATAAAATGGCTCAACAGACATTTGGTCCATTCATACTTTGAGTGATGTGAAGATTAGAATAGGCTACAAATGTTGTTGTAAAATGGGAGGTCTCAAAGACAGAACACCCATCTCCCCCAGATTTTAAAACTATCTCCCTCTACTGCAGAATAGTATTAATAAATCAGTGCCATTCACTAAGAATTTGGGACTGCTTTGGCACAAAGGCCTGCACGTGTCTTTGGTTTAATATTTAATGTGTATGCTTACAAAGAATCAGTGAAAACCAGTAAATACTGGTAGAGACTGGTGTTATAGCTTCAATTGATTAAATTCATTACAAAAACATGTATTCACATGATGAATTATTCAAGAAGCATTGCAAAAGTTTAATGACTTCTGCCTCATTTCTAGCTAAGCTCTGTTAGACGGACCTTCTCTGTGGTATGGGGGATTTTTTCATGACCATTTATATTCAGTGCATTTCTGATTCATTGGCATGCTATTTCTTCTACCTTTTCATGGTAATGACATATTTTAATTTAAAATAGAGTGCCTTTCATATGCTGATTCACATGTTGTACAGAGCAAAAAATACCTCTTTGCCAAACTTTCTCATTACACAGTTGTTGCTACATGTTCTTGTCTTTCGCAGTCTGTAACTGCGTATTCAGCCAGAATATGTTCTACATCTTCAGTATTACAGTACAGGTGAAATATGTGGCAGACAGTGGGTCCTATGCCATGTTCTGGTCGCCTTGAGGTCATTTCTTCATCAGTATTGCCCATTGCTTATATTGCCATCTAACACCACTGCTGTGTCTTTGGAAGCATGGGCAGGTGAATGGGGCTGCTTCATGCAGCATCATGGGATCAGGGCGCTGGTATCAAAGTGAGGTCTCTTGACTTTTTGAAGGGTGTAGAACAAGCTGTCCTGGCTGACACAGTATGGCAACTGAGAGCTCACTGGCAGGCCTGTGAGCAAAAAAACCCATGCATCTTTTTTCCCCTTGCAGTAGGATGCCCTGAATGTTATAGTATAAATGAGTGTCCCACACCAGAAAAACACTGGGGCTAACTGTGGAGAGCCAGGGACACTGTGTAGAAACTTTCTAAACGGTTTGTCAATCCTTCCTCTGTCATGTTTGTAAGCCTCATGTTATTCTTGCCACTGTTGCCTGGACACTTTCCTGTGTGACTCTGCCTTCAAATTGACCTACAGTTTCTGTAGAGGCACACAGCTGAGTGTCAGCAGCATCATCTCTCCATGTTCATCTCACCATCAGTGAACATCCCTTCCTCGCTGCAGCCACACCACTCCGTTGGTTGGTCTCTCTCTGTGTCATCCCCCCCATCCTTTTCAGTATGTGTGATCCTGTGACTGGCAAGCTGTGCCCTGATGGTATCCTTGGACTGGGAGCACTGTCTCATGTCTCGAGACTGCTCTGGGCTTGCTGGGGGCCCCTGGCCTTCAGCCTAACACCTTCTGCACAATGTTCTCGATGGCTGAGGGCCAGGATGGCCTTTGCCAGAGTGGGACAGCTCTGCGGGTGACATTAAGAGCCCGTGTTCAGGCTTGGCTGTTTGCCAGTTAGTGCAGGGAACCTCAGGCTAGATTGTGTTTTGCTACATGAATATGACCCCACTGACCCTGAGAACAACTTAGATAACCCAAAGCTGGGGAGATCTTTCTCCTCTACCTACTCATTTTCTTATTACAGAGCCATCTACTAAAGAAAATGAAAGTTTTGCCTAGTCTTGAAATAGCTCTAAAATCACAAATTCAAATATTCTCAGCTTTTTCCTTTCCTCAAAGGAAATATTTTCCACACTGTCCTGAGACAGGATGTTCTTTCAGGACAGAAATGAAGACAGACTGTTCCAACCTGCAGCAAGAAAAGGCCAAGCTCTCTCCTGTCCCAGTTAGAAGCAGGTATGTTTTGCTTGTACTTTCCTTGGCCACACCACTTCCCTCTCTTGCTGCTAAGACCTGAACTAAGGATTGTGCACCTGGTATCTCTGCTCTTTCCAGTTATTCTAGTTCTCCAAGTGAGAGAGATTTCCTCTCCCTACACTAGCACATTTCTTTTTAAATCAAAGTGTCTAGGAATGTAACACTCCTGCTCATTTCCCTGCTTTCATTATAGAGTACATCCCCTATCAGTCCTTGTATCACAGAGCTCTTTTGTGGCCATGAGCTAAAGGAAAATGCTTTGCTTCTCCCTTCAGGAGCCACCAAACAGTTCTGTGGTCAGAGCTGAGCGGTATTTACAGGGTGACCTTCCCAAACCTTCCTTAACACCTGGTTTCTGCATTATTGTCCCAGCCAAAGTGGTGGTGTGCAGCTGCCAGGAGAGACATTAGTCAGCTTTATGCCAAGGACTGTGATGGACAATTAATTCTACAAGAACCTGATAGTACTTACAGAGCCTTATAAAAATTCAGATTTAAAAATGATCTGTCAACAATAATAGTAAAATAAATGGGTTTTACCAGTCTCTGCAGCTTGTTCATTCTCTTTGGTAGGTTTTCCTCTGTCTGCCAAAGCCTCTGGTACTCTCAGCAATGCTCTAAAGGATTATTTAAATCTCCAGCATAGGAATGTGTATTTAGTCACCCATTACATCAGGATAAGACACTTGACTTGGCAGGTGTTTTGCCAGCTGGTTTACATTCTCAAAAGGGGCTGTGTGTTCATTAGCAAGACAGTTCAATTAATTTTGTTGAAAGTACATGACAGTTTGGGGAAATAATTCTGCAAGATCCAGAGCTCTAAATCCTCTTGAAGGCCGGTATAGTTTATGGCATAAATTCCCTCTCAAAGCACCTGGCACAGTTGCCCAGTAGCGCTTGTCTGATTAAGTGTGATCAAAGCAGAAGTAAACTACAGCTTTTTTTCTGCCTGTATTTGTCCTGGAACCCAATCTAGGATTTGAAAGACAAACCAGACTATTTCTCTTGGTCCTGTCAATGACAGGAATGAACAAGCCCCAAACCTTTCAAATTCCTTGTTACACCAAGACCTTTCGCTGTATTCCTGTCTATGTCCTGGTGACATATAGCTGTTGCTGACAAGGGACTGTACACTGAAGCACCTAAGGCAGCAGTCCTGTTCTCTCTCCATAGCCTGGCATAGAGCAAACAGCTGTACTTACAGCACTCGATTTTGTCATTGAACAATCACCCCTGGCTTTAATTTCACAGGAAGTAGAGGGCTTTGCTTTTACATGTGCAGTGTGACATTTTGGCACCTAAAATGCATAATACCTAATATGTATTACATTATATATTATATTAAGGTGCATAATACATCATATGTAATATATCTACATAATATGTAGCATTGCAGGTAAACCTAGTGCTGAGGTGGGCATGGGAAGTAGGCTGCTGGGGGAAGACTGAGTATCTGATCAAAATGTTCTTAGCTCGTTTTGAGTTGCCATACCCTCTCGCACAGCATTATCCTGCTGTTCTTTAAGCCTTGTTCTCCCTACAGCCTCCTAGACCACAGAGAAGAGCTCTTCTGAGGGCAGTGGGGCTGATTATACCGAGGACTATAACTGGGTCTGTGCTTGGGAGATATTGACCACGGAGTCAACTGAGCTCCACCATAGTTGTTCACAGAGGCATAGTGGAAGAGCCTTCAAAGGATGGATCTATGTCACACCCTGGGAGTACAAAACTGAAACTTTTTTAGTGTCCTGGTTAAAAATTAAGTAACTCTATGCAGTAGAAGCCCCTCCTCTACCCCTGAGGGTCTCCAGATAAATTCCAATGAGTAGAAAAGGTTTCATCCCACTGTAATAGTGCCTTCTTCAGTGAACTTTCATCTTTGTCTTTTGGCTTATCTTTCACTAGTATGTGAATTTTATACTTTTCCCTTTTTAACTACCCATCATTTAATCAGGACAGAGTAGCTGACAGGCCTTGTGTAATGGGTTTGGCTTATGTAGTAGTTGCTTGTTGCTCCAGAAATGTTTCCCTTTTCCATGTAAACTACAGAAGACAGCAAGGCAGCAGTAACAGCAATGACACGCTTGCTTCTTTCTGTGAAATAGAAAGGCACTCCCTGTCAGTGAGAAATGGTGTATCCCCATGAATCCTAGAAATGGGGCCTAGTGGAGATGGAGGCATATTGCATTGCCAGCAATAATAGTAAATCTGCTTTTCCACAAAACATCTGGCCTTCAGGAGTAATCATGTTATTTTAACATCCTTTCATCCTGCAGAGTGAAATTTGTGAGGGGCCTGGCAGATTTCAAAGTATTCAAAATAAGTGAAACTTTTTTTTAAAGTTCCTCTCTGACTGTAGTCAGGTTTTACTACACTTGAATGGAAATATAAACCTGTTCCGCATTGCAAAAGTATTTTCTCACGAATGTGTAAGTAGGGATGTGGTGCTGCATCAGCTGCAGCCACTATGTGGCAGGAGAGGCACAAAATTTCCTGTATTGGGCTCTGAATCCAACATGCCAGCAGTCTGATGCCTGTGGCATGTGGCAGGGGTCAGAAGACTACAGACATCTTCCCAAACAATAATTTGTTCACTGGAGAAATAGATGTAACTGTACAAGCTAACAGCCACTGATGTATCGTTTAGGCTGCATGTATCAAGAACATTAATACATTCAGGAAGGAAAGCTCTAGTTTCTTCCTGTCTATTCTGAATGAGCCCAGGTTTGGGTAGACCTCTTCCAGGAAGAAAAACACATATTCTGTATTAGGCAACAGTTTTCTCCTTTTTCCTAGCATATTATAAGCAGGGACCACCTAGTGCAGGTCTTTGTCCCCTCAGGTGATGGCATACAGAAGTTTCAGCCTGTGGCTAACAGGTGGAGTGTCCCTGGTTGTTCTAGTCACTGAGATGCGTCATGGGAACCTTTGAGGTAGATGGGGATTATTCCATTTCTAGCTCCTCAGGCAGAGGCCAACGTGTCAAAGCATGTCTCCAGTTGGATAAGAGGTGAAGGAATGCAGCTCACCCAGGCAGTCTGGTCTCCATCCATGGGCCTGAGTACCATGAATCTGATTCATCTGCCTCATTTCTCTTGCAGTCAAACATATAAATACATATTTCTGGAATGACCTGTCGTGGACTGCCTGCTTAGACCATTGTATTGTCTTATTTTTCCAAGGTAAATATGTGCACATTCTTCTATTTAACAGAAGATAAAGGCAGTATTCATCCCAGTCCAAAGGAAATCCTAGAGGCACTGGACACCAGTGCAGAAGGGCAGGTGCTGTCAGGGGATGTGTTTGCATCTTCTGCTGGGCCTCCTGACAGGCGTTCCTCAAGCCTCTCCTTATTTCATCTCTACCTTCCCTGAACTGTGCAGGGCCAACTTCTCTTTCTTCAAAACCCTTTCCCGGTGCTTTTAGGTGGTGGTTAAACCAGAGAGCTTGTTAGCTGTGCAATGAAGTGAAGCAACTGCCTATGGCAGTCTCAGGTCACAGAAGAGAGATAGAAGGTGGGCTCATGACAGCTCCAAGAGATGAGTGAAGTCCTGTGGGTAGGCAGTGAGATGCTGTGCATTGTGGCACAAGCCTACCTGTTCCAGAAGGGGCATAAATTGGCTGTTGCTATGGCTAGATCTCTGTGTGTGGCTGGCTAGCTGGAAGTGGGAGTTCCTAGAGGTTGTCTTCTGTCTTTTCTAGTAACAGCTGCCTTGAGGAGGAGTGGAAGGATATATTTTTTTCCTCCTACATAGCATCGATATGACTTGTGCTTTGATGCTGACAGGTGTTCACATTGGTTGTGTTTCTGACTGACTTCCTGCTGCACCTTAAAAAAACCCATAATTCCCAGTGTTCAGTTCTTAGGATAAGATCTCAAAATTTCAGAGTCACAGTTGATGTAGATGAGTAATCTCCAGTCTCGGGGTCTGTCACTGCCTATAACCACTGCACTGCAGCTACTGACTCCTGGCTTTGGAAACCTACACATAAACCCAGCAGGTTTCCAGCACCATCGTGGGGACCTACCACCTCTTCCCTCACATACTTTTTCAGTGAACTCAAACCTGTCATAATCCAGGTGAAATATGATGCCATGAGCATGGGAAAGTAGTTATTTGGAGAATGTGATGGCAGCCTCTGCCTGTAATTACCTGACTACTGGAATCAGTAGTAATCCTGCCATTAGGAAAGACCATCAACACATGCTCTTTGATCTTCCATGTACTGACAGGTTCTTATGTTTTAGAGTGTTTTTACACTAGGATCATCTGGACCAACTGCAATTACACTGCAAGAGGAGAAAAGGGTCCCCATTTCCATCTGCGGGGCTTGGATATACAGGATAGATTCTCCCTACAAACGTTACACTGTAAATCACAGAAGAGATTTGGAGCTGCTCTCTGGCTGGTTGTTGGCTACCTACCAAGCTCTAGCCTGGCTATTTCTGTAAACCCTTCTCTCTTTCTTGTAAGGACCATCACAGTGAAGTATAAAATACCTCTGTCTGCTTGTTCTGACTCTTACAGAACTTGCTCAGAATACAGAAGACAAATAATATAATCTACAAACAAGCAGATTTTTCAAGAAACATCGAGCAGGTCTTCTGTTTTTATGGTGAAAGAAATGTTTATGGAACTTAGCCTTTAAAATGGATTTTCTTTGTAGGAAATGAGTGCCCTGCTGTGACACCATTATTCTTAGTTCCAGCAGTTCACTAATGTTGCTTAGGAAAAACCCACAATTTATGTAAGTTCAAGACACTGTATAAGAACTTCAGGAAATGGGCTTCATTGCAGAGGTTTCTCAGGGCAGGGACCCAATGCTGACAGATCTTCTGCTACCACACAGAGTCACTGGGATGCTTTCCAGACCAGAGGAGATACATGGGAGCTGAGTCCTCTGAGGACATGAGGGCTGATACAGCCAAGGGAACTAGCTGCTTTTCCTTGCCAGCTAGGATTTTTGGATGTCAGAAGAATGTCTCTAGGTTCTGTGCGTTGGATCATCAGTCTGCATTTTCATCCTCCTGATAAGAAATAGAGCTTCTCTGAGAAAACTGAGAAAGCCTCAAATGCTAAAAATAATTGAAATACTCTTCTCAGTCCATTGTGAGCTGTAGGTCATGTTGTGGCTGAACTATTCCCTTTCCTTCCTTCTTTGTATCAGACACTGATGCAGGCAGTTAATTGAAACTGAGTGACCTGAAGGCCATGGAGAAGAAACTGCTTTGCTGAACAAAATCTCTGTTCCTGTGTGCAAGAGTGCTTATACTCTGCCAAATGGCAGCAAACGTTGCTGAATGTTCCTGCCAGAGGAGAGAAAAATATGGGCAGCAGTGTCAGAGTGTCAGATTCATCCTGATTTCTTATTTAACACTCACTTCAGACAGAGCTTTTTATTAGAGCTCTCCCCTGGCTTATTGAGAGGTACCTGGACTATGACACATAGACCTGCCTCTGGTGAAAACCAAAGTATAAATACCATTTCAGACTCCTTGTAAGGATCTCCAACAGCTGACAGCATGCTCAGTTGTATGCGCTGCTATTGTGAGCTGATCATAGACCTCTTTTTATAAGAAACAAGCATTGTTTTTCATTTCTCTTGTTGATTTGGCCACAGTGCTTATGAAATGGATGTTACAAAATAAAGGTCCTTGAAGGATATTCCCCACTGACAGCTGTGGGATGTGACCTATGGTGTAAAGGACAGATCACAAGGCAGAAGAATTTAACGAGAATGATTAAGCACTGGAAAAAAATAACTGTGCGAAGAGACAGATGTTTTCTTGCTTGATGTCTTCAACTCATGATCAGAAGCTGTTTTGGAAGAAGTGCTTTATTTGGATATGTGATCAGGCTCTGCTCAAGGAGATTTAGGTGAGATCTTCTTTCTCATGATAAGTCAGATACAAAACTATATTTTTAAACTAAAAAACATAGAAAATAAAAATAACATAAACTTTGATTTACAGCAAACCCTGTGTAAGCTACATGTCCTTGGCAGACTGAGCTCTAAGTGCTATCCTTAGTTTCTTTCTAACAAATAAACAAACAAACAATTAAAAAACCCCATCCAATTCTGTATGATTCACTTTCTCCTGACTTTAGCCATCACACTTTAGAGTTAGCTGATTTGGGACAAGAAATCCTTCAATGAAGGAGAAAGAATTTATATATGGTCATTAAACACTGAAAAGTAAACATTTCAAGTGCCTCAGGCAGTGATGATTACACAGCTTATCTACGCACAGCCGGTTCATGGAGCCTTGTTTCCAAAACTGGAGCAGAAATTCTTAGTGACTTACTCTGTGGTGGATCTACTCTTGGCACTTGTTGTCTATGCCACTGAGGACTGAGTCCGAGAGCTGAAATAATCTTCCAGTAAGGTCCCTCTGGCTGTTGTGGCCCACTTGTAGGGGAGCAAAGTGCTGCTCCTTCTGAATCTGTTCCTAGTGCCACTGCACCAGTCATTGCACCGACCTCTTCTACCCTGGAGCTAACAGGGATCTCAGGTGTGCCCTGGGGAGCACTGGGGTGGGTGACACCTTGTATAGAACTTGTGTAGTCTCATATCCTGGTGGGGGGAGTCTCTCAGAGTGGGCGGTGGGGGTGGGGTATCTTTGTTTTCAAATGAAGAAAAGAATTTGGGCTCTACTCCAATGGGATGAAGCATTAATCAAGCCAAGGGCCTTAGGGTTAGATGGCCAGGGAATGAACTCTCTCCGCTGTGTGCCCTATAGCCCAGCTGGAGGAGGTGCCAGGTATGACTTGTCAGTAGGTCACACTGTAAAAGGTCATCAGATGAATTTACAAACAAAATGCCAGTAGTCTTAAAGAGCAGAGGGCGCATGTCACCGGCTGGACACTCATCAAGTGCATGGCCGGGGGCTGCTTTCCTGCCCCATCAGCTGCTGACGGGGGGAGCACCCCTGGCGAGGGCGCCGATGCTCGTTAAGGCCAGTGCTGACAGGGCGCACAGCTCCTTTCATCCTGTGACCCCAGAGAGTGCTGTGCTGGGCAAAATGGGAGCTGCTGCCTTTAAACAAAGCATCTGTTTATTCTTGAAACAATCAGTGAGGGCAGTTAGATCTTGAACTCGTTACTGAGCCCAAAACAATTATGATAAAAACAAATTCCAGATGGGCTCAAAAGGAGTTGTTTTTGTCTTTACTAAATTAGAATGGATTCCATGTCTTCAAGTTCCTCTGGCATTTATGGACAGGAAACATGAATTACACACAATAATTTACTACAAACAAAGGAGATGAACACTGCAACAGCCCATTTATCTTTGCTCATGTGCCTCCTTGAGGTTTATGGGCTGTCTAACTCATGGGGAGAGTTAATAGCTTTTTTCTTTGTTTTCTACCTTTTTGCTATTTTAGTTTGCAGAAGCTGAGACAGGAAGTTGTTGAGTTTCTGTTGCAGGGTTAAGCTTACCTGCAACCCCAGGCAAATACTTGCATGTTCCTTAAAATCACCCCAGAAATTAAGAAAACAAAACCAGAGGTAACAGGAGGGTTCAGTAGCGGTCTGGCACTGTGTATGTGCAAGACCATTCCCTTTCAGACAATATATATATTTTTAAATCAAAGGCCAAGTGAATTCACAATGGCAAGCGTGCAGCACACGCTAGTTGTTCTTTTCTAGGAATTATTTTCTTGTAAGTTGGTTTGTGGATTGTAAACATTTGCAGTACAACAGCTTACTATCACTAATGATATTACCAGAACGGGTAAATACTATCCGAAAAAGAGAGTTGTCTCTGGTACCATCATGTTTCAGTTCTTCCTGTGAGTGACTTGAACAAAGGTTACAGATGGGAGTTCTTCCAATTAGTTCCTCAGGCAGCTCCAAGAGCCCTCAGACAGATACCTTTTTCAAAGCCCATCCAAAATGGACTTAAGTCTGGGCATTAGACATATTTTTATAGAAACTCTGACTTTCTGATGTCTTGGGTTTTGAAATCAATGCTGCACACTGACATAAATTCAACTGCTTCCAAAAGGAAAGGGAACCCAGATGATGGCAGGCAGCAACGGTACGTCATTGCTGGGGAGACCTGTGCTTACACCTGCTTTAGGTCCCTGGGCAGGGGGAGGACAAGGCAAGAGGAAATCAGCAAAGAAATTCCTGAGCAATATTTCTGTTCTGGCGGTCCTCATAGCTTCTTGCAGCTGAGACAAGGAGTTTGGGTTTGCTTCTTCTGGGCTTTTATTTAGATTCCACGATTTTATAGAAGGTGGCATGTCAGGATTGCTACAAAGGTATATAGTGAGAACTCAGCTATACGGCTAGGCTGATGTGAAGCTGTGGAAGGACATAACTCCCCAAACCTATAAAAAGTGAGAAGGATTGTAATAAAGACTAAAGCTGCCCCTGGGCGTATTGTAGTGCATGAAGTCAGCTTGGCTGAGCTCCGAAGGGAGTGAGATCACGGGCAGAAAGCACTCTGGGGACTGGGGCTGTCACTGAGATTTGTTTGGCCTCTTCCAGTGTGAGATGGTGAGCTTCCCAATGCACTTCGCTTTCCTCCATGAATCTTAGAAAAGAAGGCCTTAAGTAGGCCAATTAGAGTTCTCCAGTTTGGGCTGGCAAACAAGGGAAAGGCAGAAAAATGAGAAACGGATGATTTTTTTTTAGAGTTCATGCTCAGCTCTTCTGACTTGCCAGAGCTCTCACATCCATCCCGGCTCCCACCAAAAAGCTGTAACAGCACAGCCTAGCTTACTGACACTGCTGCAGCTCAGGGTCCAAGTCACCGCCTCAACTCCATTCCCAGGATCCTTAATGCAGCTCTGACCTGGAATGGTTTCTCCTTCCCCCCAGAGCAGCCAGGTCAGAGGCAGCTCTCAGCACCGCAGCACCCAGGGCTCAGGAGCCTGCCCGCTGCTCTCATGGGCGCCCACCTGTCTTTTGTTTTCTTTCCTCTCTCCCCCAATATGTTGCTTTAATCTCCCATCCCCCCCATCTTCCAGCTGGGTTTTGTTCTTCATCAAAGGACAGTCAGGGGGGTGAGTGGTGGAAAACACAAAGCCTCCCTCCCCCACCGGTGATTGCATTTCCCATTAACTGAGGGTTTAAAGGGAAATCTCAGGGTTCATTAAGGCTCTGATGACAGCTTAACCTTCCGCAGAAACCCAACACCAGGCCCGTTTCTCCCTCTGAAACCAGGGTGGTTGTAACGTTAGCCCTGACTCCCAAGCTCTGGAAAACATAGTCAGCACGAGAGCAGAGGACGTGAGGTTCACGCAGACCTTTATCAGATCACCCCTTCGAAGAGTGTTTTGTGATGTACTTGACAGCCATGTGGGGAGCAGCTCCGCAGCACCGGGCAGCACCGCGCCGCCCTTCGGCTTCTTCCAGCGACATCGCCCCGCTGCTGCCATCGCGCACAGCTCGGGGAAGCGCCTCGTCGCGCCGACCAAGAGGAAGCGGAGGTTTCGGCACGAATTACTAAAAACCCAGAACCCCCCGTGCATTAGCGGAAGGCAGGGCCCTGCCGCCCGCTCGGCTCTCAGCTCGCGGGCACGGGGGCGGGGCGGGAGCCTGTCCCCGCCCACCCCTCGTAGCCACACCCCCGGGGCCTTCCCTCAGGCACCTGTCACTGGGACTGCGCGCTGCCATTGGCTGCGGGGCTCGCCCCGCCCCCGGGAGGCGGTACCTCAAGGGCCCGTCACCTGCTGCAGCGGGTCCACTCCGGGTTGGCGGCGGGTGGCGGCCGAGGGCATGAGGCGCGCTCCGATTGGCCAGCTCGCTCCGCCTGTCGCGTCGCGATTGGCCGGGTGCGGCCCGCGGGGGCGTGGCAGCAGCGGCGGCGCGTAGTGGTGGTGGGGGTTTGTTAAAGGGCCCACGGCGCGGCTGGGCGCTGTCGCTGTGCACCATGGCTTACCAGGGCTTCGCGCAGGAGTACCTGGGCATGCCGGCCGTGACGCGGGCCTACACCACCGCCTGCGTGCTCACCACAGCCGCCGTGGTGAGGGCGAGCGGGGCCCCGCGGGGGGGCTGCGGCGGGGCGGGCAGGGTGCCTGAGGGGGTGCTGTGGCGGGGGAGCCGGGGGGCTGGCTGAGGGCAGCGGGCGCCCGGCAGCGGGTGGCAGCTGCTCTGCCTGTCTCCCACAGCAGCTGGAGTTCATCACCCCCTTCCAGCTGTACTTCAATCCCGACCTTATCTTCAGGAAGTTCCAGGTGAGGCCTTGCCCAGGCTCTGGGGTCCCTCCTGCACCTTCCCAGCGAGGGGGGGGTGCGGCAGGCCAGGCCCCGGGTGCCCCGCTCCCCAGGGTGGGCAGGCACTGCTGTGGGATCCCCAGGGGCTTTTTTCCCACTACTCCAACCTCCTCCGATTGGGGACAGCTGGGTCACCCACACGGTGTCCCCTCTTGTCACAGATGCCTGGATGGAGATAACTTCTCCCAGCCTTTCTCTGCCACACACCATCTTGGTATTTCCTTTTCTCCTTTACTCAAAACCTGTCTCTTCCTTTTCTGTGACACAGAGATGTTTGGCCAGATGATGTCAGGCTGGGTGGGGAAGGCTTTATTGTAGAGAGGCATGAACAGTGATTTACCTTGGCTCTGGGTGCTGAATTGTGGCTGTTCATCCCTCCCAGAAAAACAGAGAAATCTCCTTTCCCACACCTGGAAGGGTAAGGTACCCCAATGTGGGCAATGGAGGGAGGTCCCTCATGAAGGTGGTGCAGCTGTGTGGTGCCCTGGGGTAGTTCTGAGTGGGTGGGTGCATGACTGGGCATCTCCAGTGGATAGGGCAATGGTCTGCTGTATATGTGATGGGGAGAGACCTGTCTGTCCACCTCCTTTTCTCTCTCCTCTCTCTTCTCTTTCAGATATGGAGGCTGATCACCAACTTCCTCTTTTTTGGGCCCCTGGGATTCAGTTTCTTTTTCAACATGATATTTCTGTATCCTTTGGTCTCAGTGAAGCTCTCTACTCCCTTTTTGGCTTAGATGTGATTCCCCCTGTCTATCTTCCCCCACTCCCCTACCCCCCCAGGCTGACTTGTCCTGGCAGCAGTTTAGGGCTGTGGATACTTCCCTTGGCTCTTTTGGTCTGAATTGAAGCCATTCCTCTGACAACCGTGGCCACTTCCTGCACCTCCATCTCTGTTTGCTGCAGGGCAGCCTCTGCCAAAAGGCTGGGGAAGCTGACAGTGCTGCTGTGGCTCATGCTGGAGAGGGGTGCCCGTTCCTGGGGTGAGCTCTGGCTGGAGCACAGCAGATGCCTCTTTCTTTCCCTGGGGTTGGTGGTATGAGCTGAAGTTTGCACTGTTCTGCTCTGGACATCTGGCTGACAGCTTCCTGTGATGAAATAGCTTGTAGATGGCTTATTCTCCATAAAGCCATGCTGTGGGGTGGCCAGCTGTTAATTTCCTATACTGCAACCCCTTCCTTCTCTCCTGCTCTCAGGTACAGGTACTGCCGCATGCTAGAAGAAGGCTCCTTCCGTGGAAGGACGGCTGACTTTGTCTTCATGTTCCTCTTTGGAGGGTTTCTCATGACAGTATCCTTTTGAGTTGGTCGAGGCTCTTTGGTATCCTCTGAGATGCTGTGGATAGTGTGGGGCTTGTCTGCTAGCTCTCTGTATCCCAGCTGTATTGTGTGGCCTGTAGCAGGTACCTGCCTGCTGACCAGGACATCTGGCTTGGGAACCTTCTTGGTGCCGTGGGACAGAGCCTTGTTGTGCCCTAGGCCTGCCAGGCTCATGGCCTGAGGCTTGGGAGAGCTCTACTGAGCATGTGGTGGAGGGGCAACTTCTGCCTGTATGGCACAGCTTGTGCTCCTCACCTTGCCTACCCTTGTCTCCTGGCCTGTGCCTTGCCCTGAATGCTTAGAGCAGAAGCAAAATACAGGAAAAGCTTCCAGTGCTTGTGTTGGTGTCTGCAGAAGTGCTGATGCAAGGGGATGGGCTGCCTGATCCCACAAGAGGACACGTGGCAGTGTGCTGGGGAAGCTCAGCCTGAAGGGAAGCCCCTTGTGCTCTGTGAGAAACCGTCCAGCTACGGCAGAGCGACTGTGCCTGAGCTCTGGTGGGTGCAGCACACTGGAGTGCTGCCACGATGGGCATGAGGCTGGCTCAGAAAACTGAGCTGCAGCTGAAGGGAAGAACACAGAGCCATAAGGACAAGGACTGGGGTGCCCATACACTGTCTGCTGTCAGCACATCAGGCAGCATGAGCCCAGCACACTGTCCTTGCAAGTGGCTGGAGATACTGTCACGCATCTTAAGAAGTTCTTTTATTGTTGGAAAAATAGTCTGGATGGGGAGAAATATCTGCCTCCCAAGCATAATACCTTTTCTGGATGTCTTGCTGCTGTCTTATGCAGATGGCTCAGAGCACTGCTCTCCCCATGGTGCTCTGCATGCAGCTGTGAGAACTTTTGTGCCTGTTGGCCATCCTTGGGTGTTTGGCTCGTCAGTGTCCAGGTGCCTGCAGCAGTTGCATGCTCAGCCATAGGGACATTTGGAGTCCAACTGCAGGAAGGGCAGGGGAACTTTTTTGTCTCCAGCTGCCTCCTTGTGTCCTGGAGAAGAGGGATATGAAGGGCAAGAGCCATCTCACTGCTGAAATTCTGTTGTAGAAGGCAGATACTGGATGGGATGTGTGGCATATGTTAAGAACTAGCTCAGAAGTGCTGTAGCAATGTGAAGGTCCTTCTCGGAAGGTCATTTTTGTTGGCCACTTTGTAGAGGTGACTCCTTGGTCTCTGATGGCTGTGGAAAGTAGCTTAAGGAGTGAGAAATTTGTACATGCCACTCCAGAGTGTCTTATTCTGGGGTGGCAGGGAGGGCAATGTGGTGGTGGGGGGTGGGGATTGGTACATCTCAGCCAGCCCAGGAAAGGTTTGGTGGCATGGGCAATGTCTTGCACACTGTGATCAGCTGCTGCATGTAGTTCTGGATTTCCTAATCAGAAGGCACCCTGTGCTGCCTGGAGGTGGGGCACAGGGTGGGTAGGTTTTTCCTTGACTCGGTAGTTCCTAGCTATTTGGACTCTTTGCCAGCCTGTTTTTTCTGGGTCAGGCCTTCACCATCATGCTGGTGTATGTGTGGAGTCGCAGGAACCCTTATATCCGCATGAACTTCTTTGGGCTTCTTAACTTCCAGGCCCCTTTCTTGCCCTGGGTCCTGATGGGATTCTCTCTGCTCCTGGGCAACTCCATCATCATCGATTTGCTGGGTAAGTCAAAGCTGGTGGGTGCTGGGAACAAGGGCACTTTGCAGCCACAGCGCTCACAATTCTAACAGCTGCTACTGAGGCACTAGCACAATCTCTTGGTTTCATCTTATTTAAGATGGTGGCTCTCCTAAAGGCTAGCCCTGTGCCTGAGCTCTTGCTTGTGACCTGCACCTTGCTGTGTCTTCCTTGGGGGCAGAAGTTGGGTATGGTGAGCTCTGCCTGACGCTTGTGCTGTGTGTGGTCTCCTGGTGCTGCCTTCAGGCTGACGGGCTGCCAGCCTGCTTATGTGCTGATCACAGCAAACAGCCTGGCCCCTGGCACTGCAGCACGGCTGGCTCTGGTGGGAGCTGGTGCATGGGTACACAGCTGAGGGATTCTTGGAGCTTCATCCTGCTTGGGCTCCCAGGAGCTCTGGTTCAGGTGGCAAAGGAGTCACAGCTGGACCTGACCTCTGTGGCATCTCTCCCCAGGAATTGCAGTGGGACATATTTATTATTTCTTGGAAGATGTTTTTCCCAACCAGCCTGGAGGAAAGAAGTTGCTGTTAACCCCTGGCTTCCTGTAAGTAAAGCTGATTCTTTCTGGGCTTTGCTGTGTTGCTTCCCAACCTGGTCACTTCCATAGCAAACTGTGGTCTGTGACTGTGTGGTGACCATAGGACACAGCTGTATGCTGATAGCACCTCAGCTCAACAGTTGATGCCTCTGCTGCAGAAAGCACTGGCACTTTGCACATTATATACGTATGTACACAGGGTCCATACTAGTTGAACTGGAGTGTTCTTACTGCTTGTGGAAATGCTAGATGCAGGTAAGATTTTCTTCTGACATATTTCTGTGGTTTAAGAAAGCAGGGTATGTTCTGCTTCATGCTGAGGATCAAAGCTGACCTAGAGATCAAGGAAGCAGGTGCTGTCATTGTTACATACTGAGCTGAGCAAAAGAACAGTTAGTGCTAGTGCAGTAGGCAGGTGGCTGTGGCATGCAGCTGAGCTCTGTGAAGGGCTAGGATACTCCTAGGAGGGCTGCAGGGTTTGTCCTCAGCTCACTTTCCTAACCTGCCTACTTGGTGGGATGGACATGTCCCTTACCAGGAAGGTGGTATTTGACACACCTGAAGAGGATCCCAACTATAACCCTCTCCCTGAGGAACATCCAGAAAACCAACCCAGAGACCAAGACCAGAACCAGCGGCAGCATCCACAGTAACACAGGGGACTTCTCCATGTGGCCAGATTCTTCTCTTCCGGCTGGACTTACGCTGTGGCTCAGAGATCCTACTGGAATAACACCAGTTGCCATTTTGATGTGTAATGTTTCACTGTTTGTATGGGTAACCCATCTTCCCCTTGTACCAAGTGGTTCCACAGAGCTTTGCACTTAAGGACTGCTGAATGCTTACGGAGGTGTTCTAGGGACTGGAAGTTGTGATGGCTCCTGTTACCCGGTGGGGAATAAGTATCAAATGGGGTGTTAAACCAGTTACTCCTCTTGCTGTTAATGACTTGGTGTGTGCCAGGTCACTCTTCCCTCTGTACAATGACTAATTGTCCTGGCTCTCACTGTTGTGAGACCTCTGTGGGCTTTCAATGAAGTAGTACTCCTTACTCTACCATGGTAGAATGCAGCTCAACTTCTTCCTTTCCTCTAAGTCTCCCATTCCTTTTTTGGTTGTTGTTTCCAGAGTCTTTACATTAAAGTCTTTATTTTTCAGCTGTGTGTCCATTTCTGCCATGGGCAGAGGCAGCAGTTCACCAGTACTCAGCAGGACTTCGCTCAAAACTGTCAGGCTGTCTGCTTGGGCTTTTCTGTTTTGGTGGGCAAAGCAAAGTTCAGGCGAGCTGGAAGCCCTCTTCCCCTCTTCTGTCAGCAGGACTGCAGAGTATGAGGAGCCAGGGGTGGGTGAATAGGGGTGTGTATGTGTGTGTCTAGTTGGAGAAAGGAAAGCCTGGGAAAGGACAGGGGACAAAGCTGGACACTTGATCCAGGCAGTGACTGGAAGTAGCACTTGATGCTGGTAATAAAGGCTGTCTACACAGTGTAATTCCACTCTTGCTGAATTTTGTAGTTCTAAAACTTAAGCATCTGAATCTTAGGGGAAGACTAAACAAGCTGCCATGAACAGCTGTACTAAATGGATTTGATCATTTTTGTTAATGCAATACATACTTGTGCTTATACCAGACCTCAAAGCCTTTGGAGTAAATCTGCCAACACTGTGTCTTGGAATAGCTCATTTGGTGATGTTGCTGTCTGCTCAGCTAGACAAGCTTGCAGATCACCACTAAAACTACTGAGAAGTGTGAGTAACCAGCATCCAATTAAGGAATGATGCAGAAGCCTTGTGGCAAAGGAAGTTTGAACCACAGCCACCCACTCCCACCTCCTTTGTGGGCTTACCATGAAAACACCATTTTTTATGGAAAAAAAAAAAATCAGACTTAATTTGAACAAGCTATTTTTCTGCACTTGTTTCCCTCTAGGAAGAGGATGAAAGACCTGTACAGGTGGTAATCTTGTTCTAGGAGATACAGACTAAGCAGCCTCTGACTCAACAGGTACTTGCCATGAGCTTTGCTCATGACCTAGTAACACAGAGCTGTTTCAATCTCCAGAAAATTTATCTTTAAAGGCTGCAGATGTTCTGGTTTAAATTGCTTCTGAGATGGGACTTTGAAATGCAAAAGCTGGGCTACAATCTTAGCTAGAGTACTAGATTAAGCTAAGGAGCTGTGATTGTAGAGCAAAAGCAAGCTGCTCCCAGCTGGTCCCTAGTAGTCAATACATGGAGAAAGCTGGCTGAAGTTCTCTTCTGTGTAGGACTTGGTCCCCTGGACTGTCCTGCCTTGCCCTTGGCTGCTTGGAGGGACAATTCCTACAGCCTCTCTGGGGCTTGAGAAGCAGAGGGAGGTACCTGTAAACCTGCTACAGAGGCTGCAGCCCTTGTGTGTCCCTACCTTGTTATGAAGTTTAGGATTAGGTAAGCACAAACTTCACAGCAGTTCAAAAATTGCACCACAGATGCTAGTTTAAGACTATGACAGTTTCATGCTTGTTTTGGTCAAATTCCCAGAGGAGGCTGCTTGCAGATGTACCTGATCATAACAAAAAGAGGCTGAAGTGTTCTCAGCAAGAGTTGGAGTTTTTATGTCCACGAGGCAAAAACCTGTATTCTACATTGGAGGTAAAGATGCAACAGGAATCCCAGGTTTTGTCTTACTTGCCAAAATAACACTTCAACCTCTCTAAAAAGGAGTAACAGGTAGAGTACCACTCTAGCACAGGAGCCTAGGATAAGACTGCAGTAATATTATTGTTAAATTGCAAGGTTTTCGTTTTTGCAGACTAACATCTGGAAAAAGTTCCCTCCCACCCAGGAATCAGAACTGGCTCTGCCATTACTCAAGTCTAAACATGATGAATTAAGGCTGGAAAGTGTTTTTGGGCTGTGCTAGCAGTGTGGGTGGATGAACAAGGATTGTAAAACCTATTGGCTTTATCATAAAGACCTGAACATAACTGTCAGGCTGCCAGCAAAATCTGCCTTGCTTGCAACACTCATCAGTTCTGGCAGTGAAGGGTAGGAACTCTATCAAAGAGTTGGTGTACCTCAACAGCAAGGTAGATTCTAATTATGTTTTTAAACAATCTTGCATTTTTTTAATCTCACTTCAATGGATGTTTTCAAACTCCTCAGGGAAAGACAGGTTGTTTCTAGGGTTGCAAAAGCCTGACACTGCAGTGCTAAGGGTATTTAAGACACCCACTTCACACTGGGTGCTCTGTGCACAGTAACTGGTAGCTACGTGTACTGACAACAACCTCAAAGCCCTTTGCTGAAGAGAAACTGCAGTCTCAGTGACTGTGGGCTTCACCTTCTGTACCAGTTCAGAGACTGTGCTGGTTTCCAGATGCAGTCTTCACAGAAAAAAGGGATTCACCACACACCAGGTTGACAGCTGACAGAAATTAATGTTAAGTTTATCACTTCAGTTAACTGTTCTACCCTTGTCAAGTGAGCCAGCTGAACACCCCACCAACTCCATTACAGACTGCACCAAGTAACAGATTAATCCTTTAGAGACTTATTTTCTTTTTCTAGTTTTAAGTCTCACTTTCCCCTGCAGCAAGAGGTTTCGAGCTGTTTTCTGTTGAAGGAAAGCAGCTTCCATCATGCTTCAGGAAAATTTAATGCATTTGAGGGTTCAGCATTATACCCAAAAGCATTAATATTGGGCCCTGAGACTGCTCAGTTACCAGAATAGCACAAAACATGGTGAGATTCACTATTCATTCAAACTTACTGAACTCAACCCAAGTAGTATGCATTCCTTTTATTTAAAAAGTTGTCCTAATAGTGCACATTGCACCTATACAAAAAAAAAATCTTTACACTGTTCACACACAGGTATGTAAGGGCTCCAACAGCTGCCACAGGTCTCAGCTAGATCACACGCTAACGCAGCATTCTCGCTACGTGGCATTTAGGTGGAGGGGATGGGGGCAAGTCAGCAGTACTAGGAACTCTTGGCAAGTGGAATATGTGTCCCCTTCAGGGACAGAAAGACCCCTGCCAATCCTAGATCCACTTGGGAAGAGGAGTAAGGATAAAGTCTGTAGGAAGAGCACCAGTGTCACACCAGGAAGATTACCAGGCTGGAGCAGTATTGGCCAAACGTCTCATGCGCCTAGGAGAGAGAAAATAAGGTACAGTAAGTGCTGTGTTACATGTCATGTGAAATCTTATTAAAAACAACACTTCTAGGGAAGCTGCCGCAGCTTTGTGAACTCTGTAGACAGGTTTATTGCCTACACAAACTTCCTTGGTCACCTGAGAATGCCTCTATTGATAAGGCTAAAACACTATTTTCAGTAACAGCTTTTAGGGCACTCGTGTTCATTAACTTGAAAACTACTCAGACAGCTGTAACAGAGAAGCAAAATAATTATGAATCTGTTGATCAGCAGTAAAAAGAAATCCTGGGAAAGAGCTAAGCCAGCATTATTTACTGTTCCCACAACGTATCTTTTAGACATTCTAATATTCATTTATATCTGCCAGGAACAATTTCACCAAGTAGGAACAAGTGCTCTCAACTGCTTGTCAGACATCACTTAGCAGGTCCCTGGTGGGCAGAGCTCCTCCTGGAATCACAGCAGGGCTCCCATGCTGGCAAACAGGCTGGCATCAGTCAGGCTGGAGCTGGGAGGTTGCCCACTCCTACATCAAACAGCACTTTACCCTGCATAAAAGGAAGCCTTGTGGCAGGATTCTAGGTAACATGAGAGTGCATGAAACTCCAGTATTTTTGATGAATGCCTTCCTATAGAAACAAATCCCCCTGCACAAGCAGAGAGCCCAGGAAAAAAAAAAAAAAAAAAAAAAAAAAGGAAACTTCACTTCAAGCAGGAGATAGTTAAAGTAGAGATTTAAGTGTCTGTAGAGCAAGGTGATAACAGTTTAATATCCTGAAGCTAAAGGGATATGAGTTTCTGTTGTGGTGTGCAAGTTTGAAATCCTGCCAGTTGGCTCTCAGCAGAGAAAGACAAACATCAAAGCTTTTAAGTCCTGTCTTAGAGATAGGCCAGAAGGAGAACTGTCTGAACGAGCGGCAGCACCTTGTATTTCTATCCTGGTCTCTGATCTTCTTCTCCATCTCGGCATCTGTGAGGGTTTCCAGAAGAGGGCACCACTGGTCAGCATCCCCTGTGTTGCGAATGGCAATCTCCACAGTCGGCAAAGGGTTCTCGCTGCAGGGCAGAAGACAACAAAGCAACATCCATCAGTGGTCCCAGAGCACTCCTCTGGGTTACCAGCTCAGATGCAAGGCACAAGGACAACAGAGCATCATTTACAGCGTTTCAGGCTTAAGCATTCAGTCTTAGCCCTGCTTAGCACAGCCTGGTTCCCAGAAGCAAACAAAGAGCTGATGGTTACAATCTTGGAGAGTCCGAAGTTTCTGGGAGACCAACTACCACCATCTCCTTTCAGCACCAGAAAGGGATTTGTCAAAGCAACTGTGGTCAATGCAGTTCTCTCCCACAAGGGCCGTTACGTAACTGGCTGACCGTTCAAAACCCTGTAAGCACAGGCAGAGTTCATACCAGTTTATTAGTGCTGGGAGCACTTCTCCCTGAGCAGCAGCTGAGCACGGACGGCTAACAGGGCTCTTTATCTAGTTTTGCCATTCTGCAACTCTGACTTCCTAGCTGTAATTTGCCTAGCACGCCTCTGATGGCTCTTGCCTGGCAAGAGTCTGGCTTTCTGGGCACCTGCTGGTGCAACAAGCATTGTTCTCCCAATTGCCATGGAAAGGGTAGTCTTTTAGGACCTGTTTGTTGCAACCAGAGGCTGTGGCAACTCCCTCCACAAGCAGTGACAGACCAGGCTCTGTCCCAGATCACCAGATCTACTTTTCAGGGATCTCTCTGCCCTGACCAGCTGTATTATCACATGCACAAAAATATTTACTGCTTCACTAGCCACTTTTCAGTAAAAGTCAACAGGAACTGACCAGGAATAGCTTCCCAAATATTGACAGTGGAGCAGAAGCCCAGCATAAATAGAGAGGAGCCTCAGAATGTAAATGTTTGCTTTGAATTCTAGAAAGTGGCTGCATGAAGTGTGTGTGCAAGGAGCCCTCTGGCAGGTGTGCACACACATCTGGCCCCCTCCCCAGGGATGTGCCTCTGTGCACAGGATCTCAGTGCTCGTGGGCAGCCTTCTCATTCCCCCAGGAAGGAACTCAAATGCTAAATTGCCACAGGAACAGACAACATCTGCATCAAAGCTATTAATCTAGAATAACAGCTCTTCAAAGTAATGCTACAATGAAAAATTAATCCAGAGCCTTTGGTATCTGATCCTGTGAGGAAGCTTTAGTCAAATCTACTTCCAGTACTGCTGACGTCCACTAAGCAACACTCAAACCCAGGAATTTCATCTTAGCCCCAGACTGCTACACATTCCAGGCTAAATGATAGATCTTAACTGGCTTTTTTGACGTGATAGCATGGCCTCTACCTCATTTATTATGGGTAACA